TCTGCCGTCTAGAAAGGGCAAAGGCCTCATGAACATCGTGTTCTGGGAAAGCTACGAGGGGGCCAAGCCAGAGTCATTTTTTTTTTTTATTTTTTTTTTATGTGATGGGACCCCTTGCAGGAACCGCCTTTTGATGATCTCAAGGGAACACACAGGCGGCTGCACGCGTTTGCCCGGCACTAAGGCGGAGACAGGTCCGAGGGATGAGGAAGCGCCGGTAGCCCCAGGCTGTTCAATAGAAACGCCCGGGGCTGTTTGGTTTGACCTGGAACTTTCCCATGGCAAAAAGGCTCCGCGTGCAAAATTCAAAAGGGCTCCGCTTTTGTCTGGCACCAGAGGGCTACCAGGATCTTTGCGTCAGGTTCTTTGGCAAGGAGGGTGGCAAGCTGCCCAAGGTCCTTGACAATGGAGTTGGATTGATCAGCTGATCCCAAATCCATCTGAAGTACAAGGACTCGGCTGCAAATCAAGCTTCGTTGCTCATTTGACCGCAAACCAGTCTTCTTGTTGAAAAGCGAAATGGGATCTTTCATTCAACAGGCTTCGTCCCAAATAGTTCATTGCCAAAACCCCAGAGCTGATTCCCCTTGAAGAGCACCTCAAGGAAGCGATTCCTTTCCTTGTCCTCTCATCCCTTGGTTCCTTACTGTTGTCAGACCCCTAGCCCCATTTCTGGATACCCTGTCATAAAAAAGGCGGGCCAAAAGGATGGGTGCCATTGAGTTGGATAGCCTCCCGAGCCAGTCGTGCGACCAGAGGTCGCCCATGATGCGGCGAGATGGCCTCAGGCGCGGCGGTGAATGTATCTAAATAGGGAGATCCGCGTTTTTTTTTTTTTTTTTTTTTTTTTTTTTTTTTTTTTTTTTTTTTTTTTTTTTTTTTAAATAATCATAATATATATATATATGTATATATATATATATAAAGAAGCCCAGCTCTGTGCGTGAAAACCTGGGGGTTTTGGGGGCCGGATCCCGTTTCTCGGGTCCCCACACAAGCACACACCCCCACGAAAAAGAAAAAAAAACACCACCCCCTGAGGGCGTCAAAGCGCAACTTCTCTGGGTGCACACCTTCTGCGGCACTGGCAGGGCAGTTCTGGCTCATGTCCTTGGCCCAAGGGGCGAACTCGAAGCGAAGCTGCAAGGTCGAAGGATACAGCTTGAAGTCGAGTGCCGAACACGTGCCACGCCGAATGAGTGACGCCTGCGTTGTGAAATAGGAGAACCCTCAACACCGGTGTCCGTTTGGTTTCCTTTCAGAATCACCCCAAAAAGGGTGCCCCTCCAAAAAAGAGCCACCCAAGCTAGAGTAATTATTAACCAGGCTCCCGCCTGCTGCCGCCGACCCTCGGCGCATTAAGGGAAAAGTCACAAGGACCGGTCCTGAAACACGTCCGCAAACCCAGGGACCACTTATAAGATCCTCTACGACCACAAACAAGGATTAACGGAAAAGTCAGAAATAGGGCAGCTAGTCCGTTAATTACCGCTTGGGCCGGCTTGCGCCCAAGTCACTTCGAGTTGGCCCGGGAGCAGTCGCCTCTCCCGGGGTCGCCCTGAAACTGGCCCTCCCGAAGTTGACCACAAACAAGGATTAACGGAAAAGTCAGAAATAGGGCAGCTAGTCCGTTAATTACCGCTTGGGCCGGCTTGCGCCCAAGTCACTTCGAGTTGGCCGGGAGCAGTCGCCTCTCCCGGGGTCGCCCTGAAACTGGCCCTCCCGAAGTTGCCCTGGACCGGTCGCCGGCAGCAGGCTGGTCCCAGTCTGGCGCGGTTTGACTTGACGTATTGGACTCTCTTGCAGAATAGATCCAGGGATCCTCTACTACCACAAGGACGTCAATAACCGCACGGGCCGGTTTGGTCGCAGGGAGTGACGATCTGGGACCCTGTCCAGTGTCCTGGGTGCCAGTCCGGAAAGGTGTCTGGAGCGGTTTGAGGTGGCATTGAATTGGGACCCAATGCCAGCGGTACTCGATCCCGGACCGGCTTCCCAGAGGACTGGTCCTGGGACCGGTCCCAGGACCAGTCCCAGGACCGGTCCTGGGACCAGTCCCAGGACCAAACCGCCGGTCCCGGGACTGGTCCTGGGACCAGTTTCAGGACCGGTCCCAGGACTGGTCCCAGGACTGGTCTTAAGACCAGTCCCAGGACCAAACCCCGGTCCTGGGACTGGTCCCAGGACCGGTCCCAGGACCAGTCCAGGGACCGGTCCCGGGACCAGCGGTTTTGGCTGACTGCAAGTCATCTAAAACAGCAGAACCAGGGTCCCAGGACCAGTCCCAGGACCGGTCCCAGGACTGGTCCCAGGACTGGTCCCAGGACCGGTCCCGGGACTCCCGGGACCGGTCCTGGGAATCCACTTTTTGTGGGTTCGGGCGTGTCCCCCAGGGACTATCATTGATTCCAATCACTTCCAGTTGCATCCCACGCCGGTCCCCTTTGCAGGAGGCTGGGACGGGAGGCAGAGGGTCGGCGGATTAAGTGATACCCAAGCGCGACTTAAATATCTCGGGTGCAAGCGATCACGGCTCATGGCAAGTCAGCCTGCCCGCCAGCGTTGAGTCCATCAGCATGTCATGCAGCGTCCGAAGAGGCTCTTTGATCCGGCCACACATCTTCACCAAAGCCTCGTGCCAGAGGTTCTCCAATGACATCTGTTTTCCTCCTTGGGGACCCCTCTGCCCATGCCGCTTGCCAGAGGTTTGAGGACAACTTTACACTGACAGAAACCGTGGGGGAAGTGAACATGCCGTTCTCTGAGGCAAGTGGACCATTCCTGCTGGCCAAAGTGTGGCGAGTTCTGCGACAACTGGCCATGAGGAAGCATCGATGCACATGTGCAAAGAGAAGAATGGAAATAGCCAAACCTTCTTTGACACATGAGGCACTAGTTGATAAAAACTGGCGATACTCGCAAAATGAGGAAGGAGTGCGCAGTTCAAATGTTCGCACAATCGAATGCTCAATATGCTATCATGACTGCTTTTTAGGAAACTGTGACGTCCGGAGAGCAATGGTGAAACGTATCTGAAGATCTGAATACACTGTGTACGTAGTACTTGTTTGACAGAGACATGGGGCAACTTTTCCATTCCCCGCCTGTGCCATAAGATCGCAGACACACAGGGCACAATCGTCTGGCAGCCATTTAAGGATTGCAAGGCGCCACTCAAGCTCGCAATGGCCAAGATGCTGATCGTGATTGCTTCGCTGGCAGTGCTTGCTGTGGGCAAATCCAACGAGAAGACAAGCAGTGCGGCTTGCATGTCCAACAGGCCCGAGATGAAGAGCTGCGGGTCGGAGTGCTTCAGCCACAGCGACGTGGCATCTTGCTCAGCCGACTGCCTGGAGCAGAAAGGTGAAAGCTCCGTTTGTGCGCAGTGCTATGGTCCCAAGATCCAGTGCTCCATCGAGAAGTGCGTGGACAAGTGCAACGACGAGTTCGACTTTGCCGGGGACTGCCAGGCATGCATGATGCAGACGTGCAACTTTGCTGCCTCTTGCAGCCCCGACAAGTCCGCGCCGGCACCAGTGGATGCATCTTTCCTCTTTGAGCTGGCTGGCCTTGTCAAGGCAAAGGACCCTGTTGCGGAGCCTGCGGCGGTTTGCGTGTCCAACAGGCCCGAGATGAAGAGCTGCGGGTCGGAGTGCTTCAGCCACAGCGATGTGGCATCTTGCTCAGCCGACTGCCTGGAGCAGAAAGGTGAAAGCTCCGTTTGTGCGCAGTGCTATGGTCCCAAGATCCAGTGCTCCATCGAGAAGTGCGTGGACAAGTGCAACGACGAGTTCGACTTTGCCGGGGACTGCCAGGCATGCATGATGCAGACGTGCAACTTTGCTGCCTCTTGCAGCCCCGACAAGTCCGCGCCAGCACCAGTGGATGCATCTTTCCTCTTTGAGCTGGCTGGCCTTGTCAAGGCAAATGACCCTGTTGCGGAGCCTGCGGCGGTTTGCGTGTCCAACAGGCCCGAGATGAAGAGCTGCGGGTCGGAGTGCTTCAGCCACAGCGACGTGGCATCTTGCTCAGCCGACTGCCTGGAGCAGAAAGGTGAAAGCTCCGTTTGTGCGCAGTGCTATGGTCCCAAGATCCAGTGCTCCATCGAGCAGTGCGTGGACAAGTGCAACGACGAGTTCGACTTTGCCGGGGACTGCCAGGCATGCATGATGCAGACGTGCAACTTTGCTGCCTCTTGCAGCCCCGACAAGTCCGCGCCGGCACCAGTGGATGCTTTCTTCCTTAAGGAGCTTGTCGCCCTCGCCAAGACAAAGCCGACATCCTCCGACATGTTTTATCCGTAGGCGGATGCTTGAACCGACTTGCGTTTATCTCGTTTGTCGGGCCTGGGTACATGGCGCATCTTCTTTAGCGCCTTGCCGCCTTTTTGAGACAAACGTACTCTTGAGCAGGTCTAAGCTTTTTTGTACAGAGTCCAGGAATCCCTGGGTGGTCCCAGCATTCCGTGGCCCGGCAATTGCACAGGCTGTGGGAAGCGAAAGGTGCCTTTTTTTCTTCAAAGGATTCCAATCTATAGTCCCGTTCCATCATCCCATCGGGCAACTCTTTGAGTGGCAGCCCCACAAGGCCTGTCGTTTCCCTCGGAGTGGCTCATGACCCTGCTCTGAGCCCCCAACTTTTGCGGGCGCGTCGAAGCACGTCGAAGCACGTCCGTTCGCCCAATTCGCCGAAGGTAGAAATCCTTGGCCCAATTCGAAGAGTTCAGGAGCCGCGTGCATGAAGCTTATCAGCGGCTTGAAAAACTGAGCGGGTGAAGATGAGGCCAGACGTTTTCACTTTGAACATTCTGCTGGCAAATCGATTTCCGACATGCATTTGAAATCAAGTTGCCGTGTTTGATAGAGCATGTGTCAAAATAGGGATGTGGAGCTTCCAAAATGGGTTTTGGTGTCCTCAAAATAAGGTTTCCTCCGTGAACGTGAACTCAGTCGCCAGCCCGAAAAAATGGTGCCCACCAAAACGCACGAGGGTACCAGCTCATGCCGGAGCCTGCAACTGGCAAAGTTCCAGCTGAAGGCTTAGCTGGCTTCAATCGGATTTGTCATGGGGCCCGAGTCCCAATTCCTTACTGGCCTTAGTGCATCCCAAAACGAACCCAGAAGACCCCGAAGGAACAGCCTCAGTCGCTAAAATTGCTCCTCCGGGGGTGCTTGCAACTGTAGGAGCGTTTGTTTCTTGCTCCCACCAGCTTTGTCTGGCAGTGTCCCCTAAATGATGTTGACTAGAGCGTCCCAAGTTAAAGTTCAACCCTGTCTGCTTTTTTGGAGGATTCAAGCGCCTGATGTTTTGTTGCCGAAAGGTGCGTTGACAAAAGCACAAGAGATGGTAAACTCCCCTGAAGGCGAGCAGAGCAGCTTCCGTTTGCCGAATGGCATTTGCCCAACTTGCTTTCCAGGCGCAAGCTTCTTTTGGTCGGAAGCCTCCTTGCAACAGGTTCACTTTGACCCTCAGGGGATCGATCCCAACCGGTACGGAGGGTGGCTTCCTGGGTTGCCTTCACAGGCAAGCGACGTGGAATCGCCAGGGCCGCATTTTTTTCATCTTGACTTCCAACCTGGGCGGCTGTGTCACTTTGCAAGGGCCACAAAGGCGTCAACGGAACGGGTAAGGCGACCCAAGTGAGCCACAATCAACACCCGGGTAGATGAGGGACACTCCCAACCATAGAAAGCTGTGGATATCCGCCCTCTTATTTTTTTTGAATATGGTTCTGGGTCGACCATTTTGAATACCGGGTTTTGATTGTGACCCAAGTGGCGTCTTCTGCGAGGCGGTTTCGTGGGAACGGCCCCGGGCGCCTCGCACCTGGCCGCCCGCAGGCCGCTGCCCGAGATCACCGTCTTCAGCGTGGACTCCGCCGCGGAGGTGAAGCCGCAGGCCTGCGGCCCCCAGCGCTGGAAAATGACGTCGGATGAAGTCGGATGAAGGGGTGGCAGCGTGGGGGGAGGGGGGGGGGGGGGTAGGGGTTTGCAGGGTTGTGTTGAGAGGGGGTTGAAGGGGGATGGGTGATTTTTGTGAATCTGTCTCTGGCATTTAGTGCCAATGAGAGAGAACAATAGATTCAGAACAGGGAAGAATGCGCTCCAAGGAAGAGCATGCGAAGCACGCACAGCTCTGTCCAAAACCTCCCATCCCCTCGCATATCCACCAACCTTCCGACTGAATCCATCTCCCATCGCCACGGTGTGGTACAAGCGCCGCAGACTGTTTGAGCAACATATTAATCTGTCTATCTGTTCGGGAGTTGGCTGCCCGAAACTAAGCCATCGACTTCCCACGTCCTGGACTTTTCAGGGCGAGTTTGAATCGCGTCAGCCTGCCTGCCGGCCATGTGTTCGGGCAAAGTCATTTGCTATCATGCAGGTGTTGGGCCCGATGAAGGTTTCGTTCGGTTTGGTAGGAGTATTTTTTTAAACTTCCGGACGTCGCATGGGTATGCCTTTTTGTGAGGGCAACCTCATGTGAGGCCGTTTTGGGGACGTCAAAAGGAAGCCACCACTTGGCGTCAAGCTTCCCACGGGGATACGGACTCCGGGGGCTGGAAATGCCAGGCTGCGCCGCGGCAGCCTCAGACTTCCCCAGGTTCCTCGCCTCACCCGAGTTGACGCGACGAGCTGATGGGACATGGTGTCCCTTCTGGGTCCGGGTGCCCTTTCAACGGGGATCCTCCTCTGCTCTCCTTTCTGGGTTGCTGAAACCTCACTTTCAATGTTGATCGAGCTACCCAAAAGTGCCATTCGGACATGCGAACAGTTGTCGTGTCTCCGATCTCGCTTTCCAAGGCACGGGGCTGTTCACGCTGAGGCCGCTGTCGTTTCAAGCCGTCGCTTCGACCCATAAAACAAACAGCGCCAGCGAGGCTTCGATGCTTGGCACGCGACCCTTAGATGTTGGAGGCAAGAAGCAAGTTCGGCTCGTTGTGGCAGGTGCAGCCGCATGGGCCAAAGCAGGCGGGGGACTGGGCGGGCTCAAGCCCCACACACTTTGCAGGTCTCCGGCACGCTTCGCCTTTCCCCCTGGGTGAGGCTTCCTTTGGTTTTCTTTGGGTTAGGCTCCTTGTGGGTGGAGGAAATCTTTGGGTGATGTTTCCTTGAGGTTTCCTCTAGGTGAGCTGTTGTTCCTGTCGGGTAAGTTTTCCTCTGGAGGTCTCGGAGGAAATCTCCGGACTGGGAAGGGAAATCCCAAAGCCTGCGCGTCCTATGCCAGGCAGAAGCGAGAGCGCCTCAAGCCACGACGGAGGCAAAGCCGGTGACCAAAGATGTTAGGGAAGCCAAGGTTTCCAATGCCAAGGATGCCAACGATGCCAAAGATGCCAAGGATGCCAAGCATCGCAAGGATGGCGAGCATGGCAAGGATGGCAGGGAAGTAGCCGCCAAGGTGTCCAAGGATGATAGGGGTGCCAAGGCGGCTGCCAAGGATGGCAAGGCTGCCAAGGATGGCAGGGAAGTAGCATCCAAGGTTTCCAAGGAGGATAGGGGTGCCAAGGCGGCTGCCAAGGATGGCAAGGCTGCCAAGGATGGCAAGGCTGCCAAGGATGGCAGGGAAGTAGCATCCAAGGTTTCCAAGGAGGATAGCGCCAAGGCTGCCAAGGCTGAAGGCGCCACCCATGCCGAGCACGTCAAGGTTGCAGATGAGAGCATGGCCACCGCGAGGACAGAAGCTGCCGATGCCAAGGGGGCCAGGCACAAGGCCAAAGATGCCGACGCGTCCGATGCCAAGCCCAGGGCGGAGACGAAGAACAGCGAGGCCCGGGAAGAGCATGCGGAATGTTGAACAAAGTCGCCTTTTTCGGAGTGAGAAGGCTTGGGGCTCTCAGGTCCGGACGTTATGGCGAAATGGATTTCGCCCGCCTTGAGGTTGAGAGACTCGCACCATTTGCCATTCGCTAATAACTAACATAAATGATTATTAGACATACATATCTCCTAAATGTCCATACACCAAACCATAATAATCGGTAATTTTTAAGAAATGACATTGTCAGGTGTACCGGCAAAAAAGAAGCCCCAACACTCTGCCATGAAAAACTGGCGCTTGGATTGGTTTCAGGAGGAGGCGCCTCACCACTGGCCGACGGAGGCGCCTTGGGCTGGGGTTCATGTCGCCGTGTCAAAAGCGGGGCCCTCCAGATGGGTTTCCTTTTTGGATTCACCAAGGATTCTTGGTTTGCCAGTGTTTCCCAAACCCTCAGAGGCGTTTACCTGCAGGCACCATTGCAAGGGCTCCTAACAGAGGCTATCATGACCATGACCGCATCAGGATGAGTGTCCAAAACCCCAAGCTGGCCTCAACTGACACAACCTTTCAAAAAGGTTTACGCCTGGGGCAACTCCTTTGAACCCTTGTCAACCCCTGTCTGAAATCCTGGTTGAACCGTTCCTATGCCCCATTTGCAATCTTAGGTGCTGTTCGGTTCTAGTAGGGCCTGATGGTTGACCATCTTACCCAAAAGTCAATAGGCAATACTGGACATTGGCCAAGCACCCACACCAAGTGAGCTCCTGTAGAAATCCTGCCTTCTCCAACAGCTTGGTGACATTTTTCCTCAAACATCGGTCTCAACTTCCTTCTGGCAGCTGGAGTCACCGGCGCTGCCAGGCCCGGAAGAGCGAGGTGAAGACCCACCACCAGGCCTTTCCGGGATGGGGGGAGGGGTTGAGGTCATTTTATCGGGCGGAAGTGATTTTGCCTTCGGCGACACTTGGGCTTTTCGAGGGTTTGGAGTTTTCTTGGGGTCTCCTTGGGGTTTCTAAGCCGAAGCTGGTTTGGGTTCACGAGACGCGCCGGAGGGTGGGATGTGGCAAAATGGGAGGGAAACACACGGGGGGGGCTGTGTTTTGTTTTGAGGCCCGGTACCCCTTTTTGGTTTTAAAGCCCCGAGAAAGCAAAACCAACGATTTTGGAGGTTCAGCCCAACTGGAAAGACAACGTATATGTTCAAGGGAAAGGAAGCGGCTGGCCTACGAAGAAAAGAATGCACGGGGGTGCCCATTTTTTGGGAAAGAGTCGGCTAGTAGCGATGGAAGCAATCGCTCTCCCCGGCTACGACTTGCCGTCGCTCGCCAAAACCATGGATTCGCTTGCTTGAAGATCTTGGTTCGGGGAATGAGGAATGCTTCGCTGAACTATTTGTCGCTTCCTTGGGGCAGGTTCATTCCCAACCCCCCCAGACCGAAGGATTCTTAGCGCCATCTTAGCAAAAAGGGTTCTGGTGTTTGCCCGCTGCGGCGTTTGCCCTCAGCCCACCCATTAGCTGCGAGCCGCAGCTGCCAGAATTTGGGGTGTCCCCGTGCTGTTCCGTTTGCTGCTTGCTTGGTTGGGAGGTCAGAACAGGGATGTTTTCTGGAAGTAGGCAGAACTGAAAATGCAAGTTTTGAATGTTGGTTTAATATGTTTGATTCCTGTTTGTAACCCAGCCTGCTAACTTTGGGGGAGACATCGCATGGAGCCACAATCCGAACCGGATAGCTGAAGTTTTGTGGGGGACCATCACAACCACAAACAGAGGCGGCGACCCTTTCGATGCTGTACGTGGTTTAGGGTTTGCCTTGACTCGCATGCGGCGACATGTAGTTTGGGTCAACTTCCTTCAAGGCTTGGGAAAGCTGAAGCCTGCAAAACTCAATTGCAGGCTGCCAAGGATTTACCAAACACAGGCGACTTTGTTTACGGCATTTCTTTGATATTTGTTTGGCCCGTGACGAGCCTTTTAAAGAGTTCGCTTATCAAAAGAGGTCCGATAGGCAGTTTGATGGTGAACTCCGAAATGTCGGCAGATCCACATTTACACAAAGGGTCCATGACAACTTGTTGTTTGTGAGTGTGGTTTGGGTTCCGTATCAACAATTGTGTGCCATGATCAAACGCTTACTTAAGGATGAGCATAAAACCTAAAGTTCAAAACCAAAGAACCATAACAACCACAGATCCGGAGCTGTCACCATGATGGTTCAAAGGAACACCAGCATTGTGAGGGGTCCAACTCCCTGATTTCAACCCTGAGCTTGTCTCGCCAGGGCTCTCGGGAGTTTCGCCACAAGTGGGAGGAGCCGAACACCGCAGAAACAGCAGGGTACCCCCAAAATGGGACCCCCAAAAAGACCTCCAAAATGCAGACCCCCAAAAATGGGGGGGGGGGGGGGTTCTTTTCCTTTAAAACCAACCCCGAAAAGGGAACCCACAAAGAAGACGCACACCTGAAAGCGGCCCGATTTTTGCTTGAAAGAGATCTGTACCCAAAGCGGTTGGGCCCTCGGCGCCCCCATCCAGCTGATTTTTTTTCAGCTGCTCTGCAGGGATTGGTTCCTGGAGGGTCGAGCTACTCGTTTTTTTTCCTTTTTTTTTCTCCTATTTTGTTTTCTGCCGCAGAAAAACGTTGGCTCGCTGGCCCGAAGCTCGAGTCGATCAGGTGTCCATGTTTGGACTGGTTGAAGGTAGACTGAAGTTCAGGGGGTAGACTTGATGTTCTGAAAAGGAAGACCGGATTCCGGGTGTTTCAGTGCCTACCTGGTTTCGGGTAGTCCAAAAATGGTTACCTGCTGTAGCCAGTTTTCTAAGCTTGGCACAGGCCTCGTCCACCCCGAAGATCATCTTTTCCAGGTTCTTTGGGGTTGGCGGAAACGGGTGTGTCTTTTTTCGGCACCCGAAATCGGAGTTGTGTTTGTGTTAAGGGGACGCCTAGAGGAAACCACCCTTTTGGAGGTTCCCCTCTGAACCATGGCCCACCAGAGAATGACCTCAGGGAATGAGGGTCAAATGTCCCAGATCCGAACCGTCGTTCATTCCCAAAACCACTGAACGTCTTCCTCGGCAAGACATTGCCAACTGTTTCAAAGGCGGTCTTGATCCATGACTTATTTTCATGGCCACGTTTCTCTGTGAAAGGGCTCGAACAACTTGCGTGCCCATTTCTTTCCCTTCCTTCCTGCCCACTTTTCCACCTCCAACTCTCCATGTCCCCTCCTTTTAGGGGCTTGCCAAGCACCGGAGGAGGAAATGAAGCGGGAGGCGCGGGAGGAGTTGCAGGGGGCCCAGCCGACTTGAGGGGATACCCAAAGGACACCCAAAGGCGCTTTTTTTTTTTTTGGGGGGGGGGGCAGGTTCCAAACCTCATTTTTACAGCAACACCCATGGTTTGGAGGTGCGTGTTTTGTATTTTAGGTGGTTTAGTTTCGGGTAACCCTTAGTTGGTGGTTCGAATTGGTGGGAACTGGGGTTTTGAACCCCTGGTTCAATGGGAACCCACGCCCTAACCTCCAAGCAAATCCTAAACATGTCAGATGGTTGTTTGGAAGTTTTACGGGGAACCACCCATTACTCATGTTGACGGTTCCCTCTTCTTATGAGAAGCATGTGAACTGACTTGAAACGGGGCATTCAGTACTGGAACCATTCAACGACCGAAGTTGGAACATCCCACCCATGGCTTGCTGGGTTCGAATTTGAGGCTTCAACATTTTCCAGTAGTCTATCGGTTCGGGACCACGGACCTCTCAACTTCAACCGGAAAACCCATGTTGAAGCAGATGTTGACCGTGCTTTTGCCCACCACCAACTTAAAATAGGACCCAGTTTCAATGGGACTCGGCTTCCCTTTGATCGTCCTTACTTGTTAGTTTGGGGAGGACCTGACCCAAATTTCCCCAGACCACTCATTTTGTCGAGGTGCTTGGAACACCCTCAGAAGAACTTGGCCCTTTGCGATGTGAAGGGATAGGGCTAGTCATACGGACGCAGGGTCTGATGAACAATGGAGCCTTTCCAGGTTGGTGTCCTTTGTTCCCCTTCAAAAGGAGCCCGAAACGGGACACAAGGAAAAAGGGGCACACCTGTCCATTGGGCGCATGCACCCTGGACATGAGAATCAGCGCTGACAGGTCAGACTGTTTGAGCACTGGTATGGTTGTGGGTCACAGGTGCCTTTTTGGGGATGGTTACCACTCCACTGTTGTCGTCTTAGAAGGCCTTCTGGCTTCTGGGTGTTCACCGAACCACCGAGGTTTTAACCCAAAGCCGTATCAGAAAACCTCCTGATCATCTGATCCAAGCCTTCCTGATCCCGGCTCTCTTTAACTCAGTCAGTGAAGCACCTCAATTCCAATTTTTTGTTGAACCTTCAACACCATTTTTTTGTCACACACAGCCAGGGTTGAGTACAATTGTTTTAAGCAACCGACTGCTTTTGAAAGCCAATTCAAGTCGAGCTTCTTTTGGCGGGTCATGATTGTGTTTAGTGGGGAAATGTTAGATTCCCCAATCCTATGTGAGTGTTTCCGCGCTCAGGGAAACAACCTTTCTTGTTGGTGTACCCTATGTTTTCCGCGACCGTCTTGCCTTCCTTCACCGGGCCTTCGGTTTGTCCAAGCGGCGTTTGGCAAAGCGTAGGCTTTTCAGACTTGTCCCATGTGAGTGAACGAGGGTTTTCAAACATAGGGGCCTAAAGGGGAAACGAACAGGACAACACCAGCCACTTGTACGTGTACAGACAGCTAACCGACTGCTTATTTTAAGGCTCGGCACCCTTCACCTTGGCAAGGGAAACCGGAAGGAAATCCGAAACCCATTTTTTCAGGTTCAAATCTCAGTTTGGGTTTGTGTGTTTTTGAGGCTCGGCCCTCAAAAAGGGAAAGACACGGCACCCCAGCCATTTCAAGGGCAAGCCGCCTTTCAGACAATCCCACAAATATAGAAGATATATCCCACTGAATTCCTCCAAATTGCGGGAAGACGTGTGGGAACACTGGCTATCCAAGATCTATTGATGCCCAATCAGATCTATTGACCAGTCAGGTTCCGCTTGGTGGTTTGGATAGCCGGGGTTGTTGCCTCCAAAACCGGTGGGCTCCAAGCTGACCTTGAAGTGGGGGGCGGTGCCGAGGCGAAGCTTCCAGCGGCCTCTGGTGATGTCGGAGAAAGGCCGATCGAGAAATCCGATCACGTGAGTCACTTGCTCAAATCTTGGGGAAGTGAAGGTTAGTAGGGGAGAATCCCAATCATAAATGGCTTCGGATATTAATCCGCCTTTGTAGTTCTTTACATGGTTCTGGGTTGACCATTTTGATACCGGGTTTTGATTGTGACTCATGCCTTTTTCTGGGGGGGGGACCATTTGGTTCTAGCGCAAACCGAAAGATCATCGGTGGTCAAGGGGTTGAGTGAGTCGGGGCTGGCCCGGGGCCCCCAGTTCTTCCATTGCAAGGTCCTTGGTTTCAACCGACTCTCATTTTGAGTGCGTGGCTTTCGTGGTTGTCAAGGGAAACCCTCTAAGAAGGGCACACCCGTTTGTGTCATGAAGACCTCTTGAGGTTTGTAGGGACATCAGCCCCTCAAAAATTTTAGTCTAGGGTTTCTGGAGCCATGACCATGACATGTTTGCTCGGGGTGGGAAAGTTTCAGAAGCAGCACCAGTGTCAAGTGCTTCTTCGTTTTGGTGAACCGGGGATTTGAGTTCAAGGGGTTCTTGTGGGAAAATGGGAAACCGGGCCCGGCTCGGGAGGCTCAGAAGTTGAATCCTTCGGATAAGAGAAAGCGCATAAGAGCGCCATCCATGGGCATAGGTGGTCCTCGATGTCACTTCGTTTTGAAACAGATTGGCTTCGGGTTGGTATTATTTCTTTTTCAAAATGGAAACCATTGTTCTTTTCCAACAGAACTCTCTAGGTCACAACCGGTCCATATGTCATGTCTTTTTGGCATCTTGTGCACATGAACGTAACTTGTAGTGAGTAAGCGAATGGATCCCCAACTGTGGCCCACCCATTTCCTGGTTGAATCCCATTGGTTGAGTATGCTGACTGATTGTTGCTCACTATATCCTTAATATTGCCTCATGATCATAGAAGACACATGTTCCGAAGTATCGGCCCCTTCGATTAGGGTCTTAATCAGCCAATACGATTACGTGTTTTTCTTCAAGAAATCATATGGCAGTCCGCCGAGCGAGTTGTTGTTCTAACACCCAGTTCTGACAACAAACGATATAGTCAGGTTGGCAGGGTGAGCACAATCGAGAAGCATGTGGTAAGCTTCCGAGCAACTATGCTATGGTTGTCAAGGCCCCCCCCCCCCCAATCCCACAATCCCCCGAATTCAAACCAGGGGTTGCTAAGAGAGACGAAGGGCCACTACAACCCTCGGGGCTCCTGCTGGGTGCCATTTTTCGGGTTGCCTCGCACGAGGGGACACGGCCACACCCAAGCCCGCTGCCTCGAGCGGGGACCCCGAGCAAGAGGAGCCAGGGTGGAAAGATGCATTCAAAACACGTCTAAGGGGATCCAATCAGAATCAGCTGATGTTGGCCGAGGGGATCCAATCAGCTGATGTTTGATGGGTGAGTTTTGGAGCCAAGGATCCAATCAGATGATGTTTGGTGGGCGATTTTTGTTGAACTGGCCCCAAGAGAGCCTGAACTTCAACCGCTCGCTTGGACTAAGTCATCAAACAGGGGAGCACGCCCGTGAATTTCTCAACGTTCCACGGATTTCCGGCCCCAAAGTCATCAATTGGTGGCTCCCAGCCATCCTCTTGGCTTTTTAGATCCTTTTAGTGTTTAGTGGTCATTTCCATTTGACCCACTAAAAGTTAGTCACTTTTCGCGGGGGATCGGAAAACGGGCAGCCCAGATCAGAGCCAGTCAGTTGAACCTTTGATTTGGAGCTCTGGGTCTGAGACCGGGTCAGACACTTCTTGGCTGGGGAAGCGGACCTGATACACTCCGTTCCACACCGGGCCGGGCCTCAAAGAGGAGCAATGGAGTGTCAGACCAGGGGATGGTAGGGAAGCTTTGGGTGTCAAATCTGCGGTTCTTTGGGGGTCAGTAGTGACGATGCGAGCCGGACTTAAGTTTAAACATGCGCCTATGGTCATGACTTGTGTTGGTTTTAAGGCAGCCCAAAACTTCACTCCTGCTTTGTTTTTGGGGGGATCGAATGTGGGTGTTACAAAATGAGGGACCCCTTCCAGCTGCTTGGTTTCCTTCCAGTCCAATACTTGCAAAATAGGTTCCCTTCTTGGGCTCCTTCTTGGTTTCTTTCCGGTTTTGGTGGAGGTTCCTTCCGGACATCTTCCAACCCAGCCTTTTGCTCGCAAAAAAAAAGCCAGCGCCAGGCACCGAGTCCCCGCATGAGGTGGCGGACCGCGGGGCCGGCGCGTGTTTTGGGCCTCGGGGCATGGGACAAGCACGTTTTTTTTTTTTAACCCAAGAAGAGCGAGCCCCCCATGGCCCCATCGGGCATTTTCTGAATCACCCGGCACCAAGACTTGAGAACTTTTCGCCTGGGTTCAAAGGGAAGCCAAAAGAAAGCCAACATTTTGCGTCCCAGATGTTTGACACATAATTCAAGGGTGCGGGATTTCGGCTATTTCAGCACGGGGGAAGTCAACATGTACGCAAGCGATCCAAATCCTCGCAGCTCGACGTGTACACCAAATCATTTCCGGAACGGGTTCGTTTTTTTTCTTCAGGGTACCCCTTTCGTGGTTTTTAAGGAAAATCACCACTTTGGAGGTGTCCTCAAGAGGACACCCCCAACTCATTTTGACCCAAAGGCCCAGACGGCCTCCGTCTTTTTTTTCCTCCCCCGCATGTCACTTTGCCAGGCACGAAGGTGCGCCTGGACACGCTGGCGGTGGCGCGGCGCTCAGCGGGTTGTTTCCCCCGCCCCGCGCTTTCCAAGAAAGGTCTGGCGGGCACTTCTCAAAATGCTTGGTCCTTTGGCTCCGGAAAAAATGGTAGAACTCGGAAAGGTGTGCTTTCGCCCCCCCTGCAATGGAGAAAGGGTAAGTATCAGAGCATCATGAATATGGTTCATTTGTGCCATGGGCAAGGAACCCTTTATTTACTTGGGGTTGGTTGGGATGATCATCCACCCCGATTGGGATTCAACACACCCATGGTGAGGATTGTCAGAAAGTGGGATTTAGGAAACTCGTTGTCTTGTTAGTGCTGCTCAGGGAATGACGGAATAACGATTCCTGGGATCTCCGGCTTTATTCCCAAGGGGTCAGTTGTCCTTGTGACATGTGCCCCTGTTTTTCTGCGATTGACTGTGCTTCTCCCCTTAAAAGTTGGTGTGTTAAGCTCAGCAACATTGGATGTACTGGAAACGAGGGAATGCTGGCCAAGCAGCAGCTTTTTGCAAAAGCCACAAGCAATTGAGGAAAGCCCAGGCACTCCTGTGCTATATCTAAACCTCACTCGCGTGCCGATTTTGAAGCCCCGACGCAGACTTGTCCCAATGGGCGCTGGTCTAAGGATTGCTTAGAACCGGAAACGTGGTTTCGCCACCAAGAGTCAGCCCGTTTTTTCCAAAAAATGTGCTAAGAGACGCAAGCAAGTTAAAATACAAGAAAATACAAGGCATTTTGGGCAGGTTTCGGGGACAGGGGGGCAGGGGGGCTGGACGGTTGGTTTTGTACCCGTCTTGTGAAGGGCTGGTCCTGGGCCCAACTGACCCCCCCCCTCCCCCAGAACAGCACAAATTGGTACCTAGTTGCAGCCATCAAGAGTGAACCTGAGGTTTGGCGCCATTGGATTGGGCTCTTTCAGTGGATAAGGCAAAACATGCCCGAATGCAGCGCACGCCCTGGTGGTTTTTGATCTTCGGCTTTGAACGTGGGACTCCGGAGACACGGATCACAAGTGCGGGGGTCAACATGTCACCCGCTCGATCCACGTTATGAATCGAACCCCCTCAAGCGCCTAGCCCCATTTCTTAAGAGCCGAAGGCTTTGTTTTCCGTTTCTGGGAGCAGCTTTCAGTGATCAACCTCCCAGCCCCATGAGATCGACCCCCCAGCTTTCTGGGATCCACCCCCTTTACCAGCTGGGACCTGGAAATGGAAACTCACCCCTTGAGCGAACTCCATGTGCAGAGGAATCTTCTTTGGGGACCCCTTTTTGGGTTGCATGGTTCATTTGTAGGCAAGGACCTTTTTACACTGTCAGTGTGGTTGGGGGACATAAATCCCCGAGTGAATACTTTTTATTTTCCCCTGTTTATTTGAAAGGGAATCTAGCACTACTGGACATAATTGTAAACGCTTCGCGTTGCCCGCCTCGGCCCAGCCTAGTTTGAGGGAAGGGTCAGGAACACCGAAATCCAGTGTTGGGAAGGTCCGAATACCTGAAGCTGGTTCCAGACAAGTCAGACAAGCCGGCCTCGCCTGGTTGGGCTGGGCCACAGGCTAGTCTCAGACACATCAGATAAGCCTGCGCTGGGCCTGAAGCTAGTCTCGGGCAGCTTGGCTGGACCTTGCTTGCGTGGGTTGTTGGTTGAGCTGGGCCTGAAGCTAGTTTACGGCGGGCTGGGCAGCCGCGCTGAGGGGGCTGGGCTATGGCTGGGCTGGGCCTGAGGCCAGTTTCAGACACGTCAGACAGCGCCTGGCCAGCAGGCGGACTGGGCTGGGCTAGACGCTAGTTGAGCCCAGGCTGGTGAGGCCCAGTCTCGGCGCTGGATAGGCTGAGGCCTGCAAGTCTCAAACAAGGTGGGCTTGGGTGGGGTTGGCTTAGGCGGGTTGCTGGTTGGGCTGGGCCTGAAGCTAGTCTCAGCCACGAGGCTGCGAAGCCATGGGTGGGTAGCTGGCTGCTGGGCAGCCGGACTACGCTGTTGGTTGCGCCTGGAACTTCGGCTGGGCGGGCTGGGCTGAGCTGTGCTTGGGCGGGTCGCTGAGGCTGGGTAGCGAGTTGCTGGCTGGGCTGGGGCTGAGGCCAGTCGCAGACATGTACGACACGCCAGCAGGTGGGCTGAGGGACTGGGCCTGAGGCTAGTCTCAGGCTGGCATACCTTAGACTGCGCCAAAGGGGCCTGGTCAGCCTGGGCTGCTTAGTGGCATAGCTTGAGACCAGTCTCACACACGTGAGACTGGTCGTTGGCTTGAGGCCAGTCTCAGACACGTTAGACAAACCTGATCTTGGCACGCTGGGCTGAGCCTGCTGATAAGCTGGGAGCTGGGGGGCTGGTAGTGGCTGGCATGCTCTGAGATGCGCCGGGGCCTGGGCTGGGCAGGCTTTGGGCTGGGCCTGACGAAGCCATGGGTGGGTTGCTGGCTGCCGGGCAGCCGGACTACGCTCCTGGTTGCGCCTGGGGCAAGGCCTGTTTCATACACACTTGGGCCTGAGGCTGGGTGGGCTGGGCTGGGCCTGAGGCCAGTCGCAGACACGTAAGACACGCCAGCAGGTGGGCTGAGGGACTGGGCCTGAGGCTAGTCTCAGGCTGGCATCTTTCAGACTGCGCCGAAGGGGCTGGGCCTGCTGGATGACTTGGGGCCAGACGCGAGCAGGAGGTCAAGCAAGGCCTGGCCAGCCTGGGCTGAGTTGCTTGGGCAGCACTGAGGGGCTAGACTTAGTAGCTGGCATAGCTTGAGACCAGTTTCAGACACGTGAGACTGGTCGTTGGCTTGAGGCCAGTCTCAGACACGTTAGACAAACCTGACCTTGGCACGCGGGGGCTGGCCTAGTGGCTGGCATGCTCCGGGGCCTGGGCTGGGCAGGCTGGGCTGGGCTTGCTGGATGACTTGGGGCCGTGCTTGGGCTAGGCCTGGGCTGGGCTGACAGGCCTGGCCAGCAGGCGGGTTGCTGGTTGGGCTGGGCCTGAGCCTAGTCTCAGACACGTCAGACAGGCCTGGCCACCAGGAGGCCATGCATTTTTTGACAAAAATGGACCCATGGAGCTGCGCGCCGACGAACCCCGAAAATTTCAAGCTGCCGGACAGGATTTTGGGCCGAAAAGCGAAGATTCTCTTTGGAGAAGAGATCTGAGCGCCCTTGGCCCCTTTGGGGCCGAGGCGAATTTCATTTTCTCCAGCGGACCTAAGCAAATGGAGGACTAAAGGAAGACCCGCACTTTCGTTCATGTTATTTTTTCTTTTGTTAAGACAAGTCCACCCTCTCAGGGACCTCGAGGCTGGGTTTCGGTTGCGATTTCGTCGAGGTGCAGAGCAAGACCTTTGCGGAGCAGCTCATCGCCCAGGAGCGCGAGGCGTCCGGAGCCCCGGAAAGTTAACTCGGAGCCGGTGCCATGCGAAAAGGGGTTTGAGGCGGGAACCCGCGGGCTGTGCTTCTTGTTTGAGTCTTTTTTCCATAATCAAATGAATATACATGGACACTAAGGGTGTTCGAGCACAAAGTGTTTGGTTGGGGGTGGCTGTGTTTGAGGGTTTCATGTTTTCCGAGTTTTTGTTTGTTTGAAGGGACACCACGCCTGCTGGGGGTTCGCCCACTGGGCAAATTCTGCCGAATTCACAAAGGTTTTCAATAACCCGAAATGAACGTCCCTCGTGTAGTATATTCAAAAGGTGGGCCCCAGCTCTTTTTCCCAGCCAGTGGAAAAGACGTGGGCCACGATTTGATGGATGCAAATCGATAGTAGGGCCCCTTTTGTCAACAATTTTGGCGAACGGAATGTGTTGCTTTTGCATGTTTCTAGACACCGTTATGTAAGCCCAGTGACACAGCAGGCTCCTGCGCAAGGCCTATATGACGCCAACCCTTGGTTCACGAAGCCTTTGCCTAAGAAGGCTTCCTATTTCAGGAAGCATCCACATGATATAGTCTCATTCGTATCACTTTTGGGCAACCAAGAAAGAACTAGCCCCCAACAAGCGCTGGAAAGGTCTCAAAACGTGCAGACAACAAACCTCGCATGAAACTCACGTTTGTGGGGATTGTTGCTTTTTGATTGCCCGCTTTGATTGAGTGGCCCTTGCATCCCCAAATCTTGCTTTGACTCATGGTGTTTTCAATTTTCGATTCACACACAAAAACAGGCCCACCGGGTCCATTTCCCAGTATAGGTAACCAAAGAAACCTTTCAACAACTAAAACCAGATTTCTGTTGACCTGCTATGCTGACTACGCCGTCTTTTTCTGAAATTCCTACTCCACATCACCACTGGCGATACTTTTCCCACGCCTCCAACTCCCATGCCTCTCCACCCCGAGGCTGTGCCCTCACCTCCCCAGCAAAGTGACCTTGGAGCTGCTGGCGGCGAATACGAAGATCGCGGAGGAGCCGCGGGTCTGAGGGTTTCAATGGACTCGGCGTCCGTCCAGAGGGAGAGTTGGGTTTTGGAGGTGGTTTAAGGGTTTTAATGAGCACAGTTGTTCAGTGGCACCCTTTTTCCCTTCTTTTTGGTGGCTGCCCCCACTAAAAATGGTCTTCCCCAAAAAGGGTTCCCCTTTTCTTCCAGATCATTGAACAGCCGAGAATGGACTGGAGCGTTTGCACCCACGTCAGGCTGGCATCAAAGGGAGAGTTGGTTTTGGAGGTGTGGATGCAGAACAACACCAGTATAAGCCTGTTAGGAAGAGCACAGCTGCATATGGTTGTATATAACCTGCAGTTTATTCTTATTCCAGGGTCAACATTCGAACATATGAGCGGGGAGAGGGGGATTGCCCCACGCTGAATGATTCACGCCACACAAGCTTGGTTTCTCATTTGACTCGGGATGACCCGCACCAGACAATGAAATTAATAGCACCGGGATGAGTTAACTCAGCTGACAGGGATGGGAACTCCCACCTTGCCAAACCTGCCAGATCCTAAAGTGACCCTTGTAATTACGCTTCTTTGCAAGGCAACTCAAAAGACACCACATTGTTGGACCGCGAGGACACACCCTTTCCGGCTATCACCTCAAAGGGCCCAAACGTTTGATCAAGGGATCCAGCTTGCAGCAAAGGACAATCATGCGTGTAGCATCTGAAAGGAACACATTTGTTAGAGCGTCTCCCAATCAACCCTTCTCTGAAAACCAGCGACATTGTTTTTTGCCGGCAGCACCAAGCCCAGTGCTTTGACTCACTTCCTTCAACTTTTCTGGATGACCCCGAGAATGGTAGGTTTTCCTGTTGGTCTCTCGTTGATTTTTCAACCTCTCGAGCCGCCAAAATGCGCGCGCCACGCCCGGCGGAGTTTTTTTTTCTTCCTGTTGCGCCAGCCAGGAGCTGACCTTCGTCTTCCGCGCCCGGCTGCGGACGGATCCGCCGGCCGCGCTGCCCAACCAGGCGCCGGGCCAGCAGTTTAGATTTGATTCACAAAGCGACGCGCGGTTTCAAAGTTTTCCACCCCGTGATTTCGGGCCCTAGGTGGATGGAGTACTATTGACCCGTCAATAAATTCCTGGCTGATTCTTAGATGCCTTGCTTTAGATGGGATTGGATCCGGATCACTTTTGGAACCCTGAACATCCGGCAACTTCCCCATTCGAATAGTTTGTGAAGTCGCCGCCCCTTGTGGTGAGCCCTCTTCTTCCAAAAGGGGTCCTGGTCCTTGCATCTTGGCCGGGTTTTTCCAGTCACCAACTCTCTGAGCTGTTTTTCCAGTCACCAATTGTCTGAACACGCAGTTGTTGAGCGGGCAGGTTTTTCGCCATGCTCGTTCGCGCCAGGCGGCCGAGGTCCTGCGGACCGGCATCGAGGCGAGAGGGGAAGGCGAAAGGAGAGCTTCATTTTGAGGTCCCACAATTTAAGCCCCCAGTTAAAAGAGCCGCAGTACATGGTGGGTGTTTTCTCCTGGTTTCCCTTTGAGCAATGTCTTCACAAGTGGGTCCATTGCTAGGACACCCAAGTGCCCATGTCAAACCGAAATTGCCATGTCCTCCGTAGCTCATGTGGGTCAGCTTGAGGGGCGCATTTCACCGGGAAACTGCCAGAATCTGGCGCTGAGCAAATCGGATGATTGACCAGCTGACCAGCTGTTTCTGGTTTCGCTTTGGGGGTTCCAACTTCATCAACCGAAAAAAGCAACGGACGCCGAGTAAAACCTCGCCCCCCCCCCCCGCACAACTTACAGGATGTCCCCAGTAAACACATCGCCCGACCCCCGGCTGGGTGGGGGTTTTGGCCATCCCAAGCAAAGGGCTGGGACTCACCTGAGGGCCACAACGGATGTGAAGTGGAGCACTGCCAGCCAGACAGAGGTGCCTTTCTTTTTCTTCCTCTCGCCGCCCCTTCTTGACGCCTTTTTACCGCGGTTTTGGGGGGTGACCTCGTAGTTCAGCACCGGGGTGTGTCTTAAAAAATGGGACACTCGGAGCCCACCGAACACGGCCGGTTTTCCGGTGTCCTTTTGGCTTTGGCTCCAAGGGTTCCCGCCCCAGAGACACACGAGGCCTTTGGGCGTTTTTTTGGAGGCGGGGGCTGGCGACCACAGGTGGAGTGGAAGGAGAATACCGCAGCCACCACCAACGACGAGCAAGCCGCGCCCGGAAGCCCGGGTTGGGACTTTGCAGCTGCAACGAACTGCCCAACCCCCGTAGATGCAACGTCTTCCGGTGGTTTCAGATTCGTGTTCGCTCTTTTTTTTTGGGGGGGGGGGATGATGCTGCTTGAAAAGCCTTTGGCGTTTTTCGGTTGATTGCACTTGACGCGGAGGATGTTTTAAATATCCCGTTATCGGGGGTGAACTGAGCCTTGGTCCCCCAGCCGAGGGGCTGCTTCGAAAAATCCTTGCCCCCAAGCTCACCTGGAAGGCAAAACCAGACCAACCTGGGGCTAAGAGCAGTTGGCAAAAGCTCATCCCTTTTGAGTTCCCCTGAACACCAACCAGGGATCGAGTCCCACATGGCCCTGGGTCACAACCTACGCCTCCATTTTGGGGGCGAATGAACACCCAAGGTACCTATTTTAAATGTAAATGTCCAGGGGGGCACCTTTGGTTTCGACCGCCACGGCCACTGGCCACGGCGCCTCGAGCCCCGATCTTCCGGCCGCGAGGCTCGCGCGGGCGGAGGACGAGCTGCAGGAGAGGAACGCCAACAGCGATCCCATCTCCCGGGGCGCCAAGTTGGCCCGGGGCGCCCAGCAAGCGGATTGGCGGATGGAGAGAAAAAAGCAGCCCCCTTTAGCTGCGGAGCCAGCGCCGGCCGGAATCTCTGGGAGTTTTTTTTTTGAGAGATTCTTGGAGGGGTTGGTTTTGGGCCGGAGAGAGTTTTGGGGTTTGTATCCTTGCTGGGCTTGGGACATCAACAGATAGGGTTTTGGGTTATAAGCTGATGGGACTTTATCTTGCTTGGGCACTTGACAGCTTGTAGCCCCCCTGTGCACCTTCACAACTATTCGAGAAGAACCTTTCAGATTGATGATCTTCGTCGGATGGACCAAATTAACTTCGCACCAGTTGGTAGGCAGTTTCACCAGGTGCAAGATTTTGTCGATCCACACGCTTGTTACCTCGGACGAATGTGTGGAGCCGGTTTCCTCTTGGAAGGTAAGACGTACTCACCCCTCAGCCCGTGTTTTATGGTGGAAGGTGTGGTTTGCGGCGGGGTCCCTGATTGGAGGGCAACAGCACCCCCTTGGCAGTTGGAAGGTGGGACGGTCATTTGCTTGACTTCTCATCGTTCACCAACCTGAAATAAGAAATGGAACCCCCAAGAAAAGGAAGCTTTGTTTGGGGCGAGGTCGAACAATACCTCCCCTTGTTCATAGCAGGGTCCGCATATTTCGCTGGAGTCAAAGAGCATGCTCAACTGGTGGTTTTGGAAAAGTGGGCTGACCCTTGCTCCTTGCCTTCTTTCTTGCCCGTGCCCCACTTTGTTTTGTTGTGCCCGGAAAAGGGGCGAGGGGGGGTCAAGCGTGACTCGGGTGTCCTAAGGTCCTCAAACCAGAAACTGGGCCCCAAACTGGCTGGCTTCCCGGAGATCTCATGCCAACGATTCAAAAGGGTGCGTGTTTTTTGTCTCCCAATTTCAGGACACCCATCCGGGAGGTCAAGCCTTTTCGGCCGTCGATATCGGTTGATGCCGGCTCTGATTGGTGAATCGACAATTGATTGTGGGAGTTCAGTGTCAAATCCAGGGACGGACCCTCCAAATTGCGTTTTTTGGTTCCAAGGCAACTTTCCTTTCAAAGCGCATAAGATGTTTGAATGCCCGAACGGACACTGACAACAAATCTTGGATGGATCGACCCATTTGGAACTTGCGGTCCCTCGCTCGCCTTCAGGTGTTGCCTCTGGCGGCCTGTGACCTCATGAACGAGACCTTCTTCCTGGCACCGGGGGAGGGGGGGTCTGAGGGTTCTGAGGGCTGGGGGGATGGGAGGAGCCGGGAGTTTGGCTCAATGTTTACCCTCCCTCTCAGTAACATAGCACCTATGGGAGGGTACCTGGAAGATCAAATTCCTTTTTTGGGCACCTTTTCTGACGTGCCAAGGAGAGAGGGTAATGTTTCAGGTTTTTTTGCGATATGATCCCGAGCGCATGCCCATTTCTTCTTTGGTCCCACGATGGACATTTGGTCTTTTGAGTTGAATTTCTCACATGAAGGGGGGGGCAAGCTTTGGAAGAATCAATTTTCGCCAGGGTATGAATGTTCCCCTTCACGTTCTAACACATGAAGCCAACAATTCTCACACACACACATTGTCCTCTTATGATCATGACTCATTTTGTTTTAAAAGCACCCCACGACTACTTCCTACTGGCAATTCATAAAGGCCCTTATTCTGGGGAGTCGCCTGTTGCATGCGTGTGGATCCGTTGCTCTGTTGCTCCCACCCACAGCCTGCTTTGCGTTGCTTTTGGTGTTTGGAAGGGACAGCTTGGGTCTGTCATGATGCTCCTTGTGCACCGGATGTGAAGGGACGGGACCCAAACAACCCCTTTTGGGAGTTTCACATTTTCAAGCAAACCAGGAGGAACCCCAAAAGGAAAAACGGTTTCCTCTTGATTTCCTATTCTTTTGCCACCATCCACGGGCATGGGACACTCCCGCCAGTAATCGATCGCCTTGGCAACCGCCAGATGTGCAACCGCAGCCAGAAGATCCTGGCAGGGAGCCTCGAGAGCGAAAATCCATGCGGCTGTTGCCAAGAGAACTGGGCATTTTCAGGTGTGGTCCAAGGATCCATGTATTTTTGTTCTTTCCTGGTTCCAAGGAGCGTCAACTTGGTATTGCCGATTGTTTCAGCAGCTCAGTCTTCAGCTAGAATCTGTGAGGTTGGCTTTCGACACCCGAACAAATTCTGGGAGAGCGCAGCATCTGTCAACAGCGCAGCTGGCACACACACACACACACAGACGCAGGTGAATCAACCCTTGTAGCAAAGGTGTTGCTGAACATTAGGCGAGCCTTGAGACTGGTTGGGTTCTCTTTTGGTGCCCCTTCAAACCAGCCAGAAGGGTTGTGAACGTTGGAAGTATGACATTCCTCACCGCGTCAGGCTGAGGGGAGGCTGCGGGGAAGCATTCTTTGTATAGAGATGCCTCAGCCCAGCATACATCACGATCAGAAGTTTCGGCGGGAGCTGAGACGGCTGACCATTTGAAAGATTGCAAACGTTCCTCAGAACCAGACACCACGGGTTCGTCCTTGGCAAGCACAGTTCTCAACGAGAAAGAGTTCTGGCAGACCAGCAAAGAAGTTCTTGCAGCTTCGACATTCATGACCGAAGGCGGATCGTTGCGACCATATGCTGCTGCCATGCCACCGCCCAGCCATTCAAGACCTGGCGCTCCGAAGGAGTTTGGTCAGTTGGTTGCGGAGGTCTGACCGAAACTTAAAAAAAAAGAGGAGCGGTTTGCCGAATTTCCTTTGAGACGACCCTCAAGAAGACACCAAAAGAACATGCCCTACCCCATATGGGTGGGGGTGAAAAATGGGTACTGGAGCCCGGGGAAATGGAAGCATGGACTACCTGCGCGCTGGTGGTTTCGTTTTGACCCATATCCACCTGGGCCAAGTTTTTGTGGGTTTTTTTTGGGACCTCGAAAAACGAGCCTACCCCAGGCTGACGGCAGCTCGGCTTCCTTGAGCCAGCTGGAGCACGGACGCCCAAGCGAAAAAGAGCGCGCTCTGAGTGAGCTGAGCGTCTTGCTTAAATTAGACGTTGGGAGCATCGCCGAATGTAAAATAATGTAGGGGGCCAAATGAGTACGAGCAGTTTTTTTCCCGATATACATGACTTAACATGGTTTAAGAGTACCCCACAACCCCATTCCAATCATTTAGCATCTTAAATTAACTAGAATGGGGTAGGACTAAGCAACATATTGGGTTGTGGCGAACTTAACTAACAAATTCCGTCAGGATTGTAGGAGCGCACTATTCGTATCTAATCGGGTCCCGTTTTTGTTGACTGACCCGACCGACCGACCCACCCACCCACCCACCCACCGACCGACTGACTGCTGAATGACTGACTGACGGACCGACCCGACCGTCCAACTTGATGTTCCCAAGTGACATGGACTTGGAACATCACCGTTCCTGGAATAGCCTGACTTGAGTTGTTTCCTGGTTGGGGCGGGGGTCCTTTTTGTTTTTGCTTTCCGTACCATCAGAAAGGGAGGGCCCCACAAAATGAGGCTCCAAAGAATGGGATCCCCATAGCTGGACGTCTGCTTACCCTAAGTCCGGGTTCAGGCTGTGCTTTTTGTCGGCCCCCACAAAGAGAATCCAAGAGCATTCCGAAAAGAAGGGGCCTGAAAAGCTTCAATGCCCTGCTTCCTTTTTGGAAGAGAAGATCCAACCCCCCCCCAAATTCACGGTGAGCCAGGGTTGGTTAGAGCAATGTTGCGGAAACGACCTCCTGTTGTTTGTTTTGCTTTGCTTCGGCTGGGTCCAAACACATTTTGCCCGACCCTGGTCCAATTCAGGCTCATTCCTTATGACAGATAGTGGCGACTTGCTTGCCCAAAGGCAGAGGGGCACCTTACCAACTCAAGCTGGTCACCGGCGCATGTGCTTTTCTTTGAAAACCACATCCTTTTCAATCCAAAAAGCCACTTGTGGCTCCGTCTGTTTGTTGCAGAGGGGAGCTTCCGGGTGGAAGGGCAAGTCTGGAGGCGGGTTATGGACGTTTGACGGCGGTTCCCTCAAATTACCTCCCACCATCAGAGTTGTTTTTGGCCTGCTGGGGTTCCCCCCACCGAAGATGTTTCTTGATTCGCAACGGTTCCTTTTCTTAGTTGCCTACTTCCAGGATAAGTATGGTTTTGTGACTTCTACTATTCCTTTCCCAAATTCCCTACTTGCAGGTACTGGTGAGCTATGAAATTGCCTAGGATTCCCCTAGGCTTATCCTGCGAAGTGTCAAAACTCCGTACTTCCAAATTAAGTGAAATCGGTTCCTTTCCTCAATTCCCTGCTTTCATGGTACACCCAATCAGGTAACCCTTAGTTGGGATTGGTGCTTCGGATTTGAACACCTTCAGCCACCACCAAAGCCCGGAATGGTGCCTGCGCCGCCTTGCTAATTCTTTCCGTGGGTCCCGATAGTTTTAGCACCCATCGGTTTTGGTTATGACTCAGGTAACCCTTAGTTGGTGGTTTGGAGTGGTGGTTGGATTTGGATTTGAATTCCTGGCTTTCGCAAAAGGTAAATAGGAAATCCCTCCAACACATCAATGAAGGCCTTCGGTACAGCGCCTCCACGTCGGCTTCTGCGTGGTTCTGGCGTGGCTTCCGCCTCCGCTTGCGGGCGAGGCAGCGGGAGGCTGCAGGGGCGGAGCTGCAGTCAGAGGCGGCGCTGCGGCAGATGCGCCCGGAAGCCCGCGGCCGCGGGGTGGGGTTTTGGCTTTTTGGGGTTTCGGGTGGGGTGGGGAGGTTTTCGGAGGGGGCGAGGGGCTGTTTGGCTTTTTTGGGGAGCTTTTAAAAGATTAAGAAGAAAAAAAGAGGGATATTTTAAATAGGGAGGGTTGGTTCCCTTTTGCGCTTCCCTTGACATGTGCTGGTGTGCCTTTTTCATGATTCAGTTGAGCCACAGTCAAGCCGATTCAGGTCCATTCCAATACCGACCGGTTCTGATTGTGACTCAATGGAAGATGGGCCCCTGGATTGCATTTGCCCTGAACAGGTTCAACCCGCAAGAGGGGCAAGGAGTAGACCCTGTTGCTTCGCGTCCGTCACGGGCAGAAACACGGTTTCCTATATATATAGACATGTAAATAATTATATATATATATATGTTAATACCGTGGAGGAGTTCAATCATGGGGGACTCATTAAGTTTCCCACAAGACAAAACAGGGCACTTATTAAAGAGAGCGAGGTGCGGTTTGGGGCTTTTACTTCCCTCAAAGCGACTCCCGAGGGGACTTGTGAGTGCCGGAGCGAGCGCACACAGCCGCTCCTATGAAGCTCTTTCTTGACACAGCATGACAAAGCTCATGTGGCGGATTTTTGGAGGACACCCGCACCGTTGTGACAGCATGCATGAACAACCAAGGGGCAAACGATGGATCCTGGTCCTGTGATGAATGTCTGTTACTTGTACATGGGCATTCCAGTTCCGGTTGTGGATTTCTTGGGCGTGTCTTGGAATCTGTGACCTGCTATGGTGGTTCTGCCTTTCGTTCCCGGGTTCCCTGAAACCAAACAACACCCATTGGCTCTGTGTCCACAATTACAATTGCAACGCTGCGAACCGGGTGGAAAACCGGAACCTTCCGCCAGTTTGCTTGACTCCGTGAAGGATTTGTGGCCGCGCCCGCATCAAGCGCGCCTTGTGCCTCGCGAGCCGCGGTGAGCCCGGTGAGGCCGGTGCCCGATCCGGACATGGCTGGGTTTCTTGGGGCCTGTGGATCGGGAGAATCCCTTTAAGCCCAATGGATTGGGCGAGCTTCGCTGAGGTGAAGGTTGCAACTGGAGGATCCTGGAGGCAATACACGCCTGGTTGATGAAAACTAGGGGTAGTTTGCATTGCACACCAAATTCATTTACAAGGTTTGTGAATCCCAGGAATCCCAGGTCGACATTACCCTTCTGCCATGGCAGATGATCTTCCGAAACGCTCTGCACTTTCACACTTGATGCTTCTTGGAAAGAGATTAAGCAGCAAGGACACAACGCAACGTTTCCAAAGACGAATCGCTCCATGCGTGATGCGCGGTCCACTTTCGGGATCTGAAGTTTTGGAACCGGCTAGCCGGTTGAACACCGGCAAGCCGGATGAGTTGGGCAACATTGAGCTCTTTGAGCTTGTTGTTAGCAGGTTCTTCATTACAAGACGCGGGAGGTTTAATGGCAGCCGCGCGTTTGTCAGACGCGTGCCGCCAGGCCACTAGTTTGGCGCCAAAGGGGCGCCATGTTCCGCTCGGTGAGGGCGGCGTCTGCGGCCGCGCGGCTGCTGAGTCTGAGGCGGATCTTGGGCGGTTCTTCACTTGGCTTGGGAAGCTGTTTTGGCCGATGCGGTGGAGGGATCAAGGGTGAGATGGTGAAGGCTTTGGTGCCTGGCATGTTGCGAGATTCGGGGTGGGACTCTCAGGGAGAATAACATAAATGTTTCTCCAACTCGAAGTAATCGGTTCCATCAGATCTGCGGCTTCTTTTGCTGCTTCCGTGGTGCGAGTTGTGGAAGTCGCATCTGGGTGATCAATCAAGGACTGCCTGCAAAATCATAGGGAAGCCTAAATAAGGTTTTAAGGGTCTAGGACCTAATTTAGGCTACCTCCCCACTCTCCTCCCTCCCCTTGGGGCGTCGCGACAGAAGGCAAAATGAGTTTGTCCCTTTTTAGGGAACCGCAAAAATGGCGAGGTTTGCCATTCAAAAACCACCCTCAAGAAAAGACCCCCCGCCAAATGGTCCCTGAGTGTAACTGACAGTCCAACTGGCGTTTTTCTGGGGGACCGACCCCCGGGCGACCCGGCTTCAAGTGGTCAACTAATCTTCGTAAGCGCCAAAACTCGACACCTCTCATGGCTGAGGCAATAACCACTGGCAGTACCAACCAGAAATAGGCGTTGCCTTAAATATAAGGAACTACTTGTTTTCAGAAACATGTCGGACGTACCCCGCTGAACCTCGGTGGATGGATGCAGCGAACCACCAGCTTTCCGCGAGAGGCATGCTCGCATGCCGTGCCCACCGGCACGGAGCCTTAACATGAGTTTGCCCAGAATTCATAGGCCAAGGGGATCTATCGGGATTTGCTTTTTCATATTTCTCTTTAAGTTTAGACCCAGAACCTTTCAGTTTGGGGCATCAGGAAACGCGGTTGCGCTTCTTCAGCAAAACCGCATGTATTTTCTCGATGTTGTTTGCATTCTGTGAGGCACCTAGGCCAAAACCAATCATGCATAAACAGGCACAAACAATGCATAGTGTTCAAACACACCTGCATGTTCTCGATGCTTGTTGCATTTTTTCCGGGATACCACTGCTTAAACATGCACATGTCTCGCATTTTATGCAGAGGCGCACAGGACAACTCCTAAAGTACATAACTTGCTAGAAGCCACGAGCCCAAATGCAATTTGCCAGCTACCTTGTGGCTTGAAGCTTTAAGTATGACGACTCACCCTCACTCACTCACCCACCCACCCACCCACCCTCCCACCCTCCACCCGCTCGCCCGTCCGCCCCCACCCACCTACCCACACTCACCCACTAAATTTGTGGTTACATCTTCTCCGAGCCAGCAAGGCGCTACCTTGAATCTTCATTTGGATCGTCTTTCGCTGTGCGCCTCTTTGGGCATTGTTGATGTGCCGCACTGCCAACCACGCCTTGCGGGCGTTTTGCCCTCGCGACGCAGCCCTTCCCCAAAGGAGTCTCCCACATGGAACTGTGCAAAGCCTGAAGCCCATGCTGAGCGGGCCCACGTGCAACGTTCGTTGTGAGGTCTCCTGGCGGAGACAAATCAGGGCAGGCAGCCAATGAAGCTTCAAACCGTTTGTCTGGCTGTTTTTGCAGTGTTTTCTTGCGGCAAGGAGCAAACACGCTGCTGCCCCGCTGAGGTTTCCCTCGCCCAAGCACTTCCTTTTAGGGTTTAGCGCTAGGTTGCGCGGGCGCGAGGTGTGGGCGAGGAAGAGAAGAGAGGAGAAGAGGAGGAAGAAGGAGCAAACTGCGCCTCAAACCGGGGGCGGGGGCCCCCCTGCATCCTCACCCGTCGGAGGGACGTGCCGCAGTTGGATTCCCGGGCATCCGGGAATCTGTGAATCGACTGCGGAGGTGGTCGACATAGGGCTCTGCAACGGGCAAGCCCCCTGGATTATTTGGATTGTCTCTCAAAAAGAGGCTTGTGGACGTTTGGGAGAGTCAGCCGGTCAATCATCGGACTTCTTCTCCGTCTCCTCAGTTTTCTGTTCGAGACCGGTGCTTGCTCTTCTTCTTCGTCAAGCTGTTCACCAACCAGATCTTCCCAGCATCTGCTCCAAGGCCAGCAGATGTTGGACCCACGTCTGCCAAGTCCAACAGCCACATCCCATAACAAGGCAAAGCAGCCAGCCACACCAGACAATCCAGTAACCCAGCAATGCAGTCCTCACTGCCTCTGTGGCTGTCTTGCATTCGCTTCTTGCGCTGCTTGGAGATACTAAGGTGATGGGCCGTGAAAGTAGGCGCCAGATGATTCCACGGTCATTTGGCCTCCGACAATGAAGCTGCGGAACTCGTTGTTGTTTCTCCAGTGATTGAAGAAGCTGAGGAGATGCCGTCAGGCGCATGCGCCTGGGACTTCGCCTTCTTCGACGCGCAGGCGTGGCTGTGGAGGAGGGCGGTCCGAGTGAGAGATGGTGTTGCCGGGATTCTGGCGGACTGGCGCACACGCTCCAGGGATGCTGGGGCGGTTGTACTCCGGCATTGGCTCAAAGAGCAACAAGAGGTCGGCTGATGGGGAGCCTGTGCAGGACGACGCAAGCCCATGTGCCGCAGTGAAGGTGGGTGTTTTTGACTTTGTATTCCGCAAGGTCGTTCACACTTTGTGACCCGCAAAGGCCTGGACTGTGTGGAGGTCGACGCTGTCAACGCCTACTACCAGATTCTGGACGCTGAGCCTCGGGAGCTCAAGGTTACCCGCGCCTGACCAGAGAGCAAGGAAAGAGCTTGTGTAAAAGTGATCGCGGTCCTTGTGCACCGTGCCTGTGAGCAGCATCGGGGCAGAGCGTCTGGACTTTCTGGAGAAGTTTGAGGATGCGACCAAGGCTCTGCGTCGGGCCTGGCGGCAGCACACTCCCTGAGCAGAAAACGCGAAAGTGCGCATGTCCTGGGGCGCAGTGCCAGCTGGGCATCGAAGCCGCGCTGCCAGCAGGGGTGGCTGCCAAGGGGCCAGAGAGCCGCGCCGCAGTATATTGGAGCGAGTAGCAGCGTGCCTAAGAAGGTTTGGGAGAACGCCTCCGATTTTGCGGACTACGCGGCGGCCTTGCTTGAGCCCGTTGTCAGTTTCCACCGCGGCTTCTGGCACGTCTGCAGGCGTGAGGGCGCGGCCTGTGTCACTTCTGTCAGTTGTCCATGGGCGTCTTGCAGCAAAGGATCCTCCGTTACAGCTTGACTCGGACAGCGCACGAGGGAAGATGCTCTTCTCAGACGGAGTGATGTTGGACTTTGAGGGGAGAAGAGGCGCGCGTTGCCTTCTTTGAGCGAGAGCCCTGCAGGCCGGCCCTGAACGACTTGGCACACGTTCGTAGCTCCTTTCAGGAAGTACTTCTTGACCGTGCTCTTGAAGAAGTTCACTCCTTCACCAGGGTCTCTGAGCTGGTCGTGGTCTAGCAACTCTTGACACATGAGTGCATCGCCGCTCAATCTGCTCTTGAGGGGAGGCGTTTTTCTGGCGAGAGAGCAAGAGAGAGAGAGAGAGAGAGAGAGAGAGAGATAGACTGAGAGATAGTACCCGCTTCTTAGATCGTTTGCGCAACTGGATTAGTGGACTTGGCTGTCGACCCCCTTCAATCCATCAACGGGGATCCCTAGATTCATTGAAGGGGATCTCATTCCCAAGGCCCCTTAGCAAGTTCGCTACTGAAACTTCTAATGTTTTGTCGGGACATATTTCATTTGGTTTGGTCAGGACCCAAGTTGAGCCATGCCTGCCCTTTCCTTGGAATGAGCCAGTTTAAACTGCGGGACGGCGGGGTGATTCCAGCTCGCTCCCCTATCGACCAGCATGTTTTCCTGGTTCTTGGACCAATTCAAACCACCAACAAAAGCCCGCTGTAAATAGTCCAATCCATAGAAAAGAGGGAAGCCGACTCCCCCTAAAACGTATTCCCGCTCCTACTTTGGTTTTAGGCCCGGCAAAGCGGCATGCGGCGGTTCTCCGTGGAGCGGGAGTCCATGGAGCCGGGGCCCCGAAGAAACCCCGAGGATCCTGACGCAGTGTTCGAGCGGAAGCCAATTCTTGGCATCCCAAAGCAGCGCTGGTTCCTCCCTAGGCAGCGTTTTTCGGGCATCTCCTGGCCTCAAGTCCAGTTCACTGCGTGCCGACTTCGCGGCTGGGGTCATTGTGGCGAAAAGGGGAACGTTTGCTTCTGAGAATGAATTCGCAGCCCTCCCGTTCCATGGTCACTTGTCCAATGCCTGGTTCTGCTGTGAGGCTGGCTTGTCCGTTTTTGAGATGAGTTCCTCATGAACATTAGCTATTCGTCCTTTTCCTCAACCCCGGTCTTGCGCCCATTTGTTCCAGCTGTGATTTGCTTGGGCGCCTCTCATGCCCCCTTTGCCTGCAAAGCAGCTTCTTCTTCATGCGAGTTGACATGATTCTCTTTAGCAGCCATTGCTTTCCCAGACATGGGCATTTTTTTTAAGGTTGGTAAAAGTTGTCGCTTTTTGTTTTCGGGGGAACCAAGGAAAACCACAACCGAGTTGGGATTATTGGCATGTCTTTTGGGGCTTTTGTTGAGAGGTCGAACCTCAACCCGCTGAGGTTCGATGTGCTCATCGTCGGAGGCGAGGTGGGTGCAAAAGGAGCAAGGTGGATTTGCAGAGTTCCTTTAAGGCTACAGCCAAAAAGCGCCTGCTTGATCAGGCGATGCTGTAAATAACCAGGTACAGGCCGGACCCTGTCAAGGTAGGGTCGAGTCTTCATACGGAATCCAGACAATGGCCTCGACCACAAGTTTCTTCCCGACGTTTTGCTTCTTTGTTTTCCCTTTTTCTTTAATTGTCTTGCCCTAAGATCCTTTATGCTCCATTCGTGGACCTTCCGGCCTACAAATACGAATTATTTAGACGGTTCAAAAGAGTGATATCAAAGTAGTTGATGCCGTATTCGCAACGGTTGCTAGTATGTACTGCCATGATATTTTCCATAGGCAACTTGCGTACTTGGATAATGTCTGAGAGTCTATACATGTGGGACACCTTTTTCGGCCCCTTTAAACTTGATGGTTCTCAACAAGAAACGAGAAATGACATGCCCCCTAGAAAAACCATCCTATGGTTTCCTTTATTCGGGAATCCCCAAAACGGTTCATTCCCAAGACCTCGACTCGGTCATTTCCCCAAGTAAACTGCCTTCGTGTGCTTTGAGATGGCAGTGGGTCAAAATGGGTACCCAAAATGGAACCCTGGTAAATGCAACCAACGACTAAAACCTGCGGTGCTCTGGTGGTTGAACTTCCCATAGATAATTGTTCCCTCTTTTTGAGTCCAGCAAATGGGAACCCTGCTTTTGCACTATAAGCCATCCATACATTGTAAAACGGGGTCTTTGGTTTCCTAGGGAATCATTGGGAATTTCGTGGTTTCCATTTGGTTCATTCCTAGGGAATCCCCCAATTTGGTTCATTCCCAAGACCTCGGGGTCCTTCCCCTTCCACTCCCAGATTTGAAATAATAGTGTATGTTGTATGTTCAATACTCCCAGTATTGGTTCATTCCCAAGACACCTCTCGCACCAAGTCGACCACGACCGCCCCCGCCTTCCGCTCCTCCGCCTCCCGCCCCACGCCTTCTCGCCTCAGCCGGGCCGGCGGGGCTGGCGGCCGCCATCCGCGCCAAGCAGCGGGCCGCGGAGCGCGGCCAGGAGATCAATGCCCGGGTTCCCACCCGATCGCCGCCCGCAGCGCTTTTTTTTTTTTTTTGGACAGAAGTCCCTGAGAAACAACCCAGGGGTTGGTCCCTGGGATTTTCAGGGTAGACTGAAACCCAGGCGTGGCTCATGCCTGTCGCGGTTCCCAACGTAGACTGGAAACCCAGGGTTCATGCCCCCCCAAAAGGAACACTAGATTTAAAAGTGCATCTTGGAGTCGAAAAGTGGAACCCTGGTTTGTTCAGGTTGGACTTGACATTTTTCCCGAGGGGGTTTGATTTGAAAGATGTGGACAACCCCCATCAGATTGGTTTTGGACTTTTGTCCCATCAGGATTGATTTGACAGATGACAAATCCAATAAGATTTCTCAGAGTTTACTTGAACGGATTTGTTAACCGAGGAATCTGCGATGTTGCGTACAGGGCACGGATACTGCGGCGTGAGTTGGGGTTCTTGCGGCTCAGGTGGGGCACTTGTTCAAGGGGCCCGACCCAGCCGAAGCGAAAGCCGCAGATGTGTTTTGAAGTCGCCCCAAAGGGAAGAATTGGCCTGCGCAACTTCTGGCCACGCCCCATTTTGTCGGCTTCCATTGGTTGACCATCAAAAACCTCTGGGTGAAAGTCCCGGTAGCGAGAAGCAAAAAGTGGAACCCCGAAAAAGACGGCGCTCGGGGCGAAGGGCGAATTTGCGAGGCAACAAGAAACATATCCATGTTCTGCCGGGGCAATGTGATGGGCAACCTAGGTGGTCCGATAGGCAGATGAAGGTCTCTTGCAGATTCCTCAATTTCAGGTTGGTGAATTTCGGTGATCAGCGCAGAGTCAAACTTTGGTTGGTCCATTTTCAGAGTTTGACACGGCTTTGGCAAATAAAGTGCGCCCGAAAGGCCAGCAGAGCAAGGGGATGGTGGTTCAGCGCTCCGGCCGACCACTTCACCCCAGTTTGCCCCTGGATCATTTTCCGGTGGTTGGTCTCAAATCGCATCAGGATTTTGGCCCAAACACAGCGTTCTATTTTAGAGTTCGGCTGGATGATCCGCAAAGTTGTCTTGCTCAACATTATCGATTCCAGCACCAGCAGTCAGCATCACCAGCATTTCCTGCATCACCAGCATCCCCATCATTATCCGCGTACACGCATTGCATACATCACCAGCATCGGCCCGCATCATCCCAAGGTGCCTGGAAAAAGTTTCACCCACATCGCCTGCATCACCCGCTCCATATCATTGGTTTTGCTAGCTGATTTTTCGGCGAGTGCTTTTTTTCTTTTCTGAGATTCCTGCGAGTTCGCCTGGTTTGTGGTTGGTTTATTTGGGATTTTGGGAGAATCAACTGGGGCACTGTTGGGGGGTCCTGGATGGCGTGTGCGAGTGGCAAATCACAGGTGCAAAAGAAGCTGTCGTGTCCGATCCCAAAGCGCTTTTTTCAGCCAGCCTTGTGGGACATGTGTGAAAACCGGGGTGACTCATGTCACTTCTGAAACCCGTCCATTCCCTCACACACCTTTTGAACACTTCCCCCAAGGCAAATACGCACCCATTCCAGATTCTCTCTCACTGGTAACTTTGATTCTTGCCATTTTCTTGAGGCTCGGTACCCTTGCGACTTTATGGAGGGAACCAACCATTTGGGGTTTCCCTTTGAGAGACACCCAGATGGAGGCTCAGTTTTGGGTTTGAGTCTCAAGGTCTGCGTGGTGGAGAAAGGCCGGGTGCTCAGATCCTTGCTTGCCCTTGATGAGGGTCACTCTTGGGATTCCCAAGCTGGTTGGAGCCGAGCTGGGGTATCCAAACTTGCTTTTAAAGAGGGAGCTGAGGAGCTACCAGCAGTCCTGTAAGGACATGGTAGTTCCGCTCATGTTTGCCTGGTGGCGTAAAATGTGAACAGTGCACGAAGAACCGGATGGCCAGGATCTTTTCTTTCCATTCGGCCAACGTCCTGTGGGTGCGGCGTGCCCGGGATGAACTTGACCGTGCGCTTCCATTCCCCTTTCGGACACCAAGCATGGGTCTGTCTTTGTTTACCCTTTTTGGGTTGCTTTAAAAGGAAATCCAAAGTAAACGCAGAAGCCATTTCTGGGGTCCGATTCCTTGGACATGTTCCGTGCGGCTTTGGAGTCTGAAGACAAGGATCTCCCGGGTTGCTCGGTCAGGGCAGGTTGCAACAGTAGTTTAAACCGACTGTAGTGAACCGCTCATGCAATGGAATATCAATCAGCGTTGGTCTTTGAATGGTGTTCTTTCCGTTTCCCTCACCTGAGCAACCAACAATCTAAATCGGAGGCCCCTCCAGAACACCAAAAACCACCGGGCTCCAAACCACCAACTAGGAGCACGGCCCGCCCAATTTCGCCACGTTTTGCGGCCGCCTTCGCAGTTGGGTGGCTCAGGTGCCGAGGTGGGCTCGCACATCTTGTCGGGCAACGTCTTTGAGACACGGGCGCTCGAGGCGGGGCTGGGCGGGGCTGGTTGCGTGGATATTTTTCGGCTTATTGTTGACCCCATATGAATCAACCCCAGCATATTAATAGGGGGCGGGCGTTCCCCTCCAAAGTCCAAAAGTGATGATCCGATATGGGGTCAACATTGACAAACCTTCCCATGGAATGTGGCTGAAGGTTTGACAGGAAGGTAGCGCAGGGGCGAAAGTGAGCCGCCTGCCTGGGCAGCGGTACGCATGAAGCTTCGTTTCATTGGGGTGCAACCGTTTTCCTTGCGACTTCTTCGCTTGCCATGCGAAAGGCACCTGACCTGACGATTGATTCACTATGCGGTTTTCCGGTCTCTCAAGCCTCGGGGGCGCAGGAATCTGTGGAGGAAATCCATGTCGCAATTGAAGCCATGGTTGAAGCCATTGCTTGGTGGTTGCGGGGAATCATCAGGGTTTCCTGGGTGAATCATCAGGGTTTCCTAGGTGCGAAATGGATTTCGCAGCCATCCACAGTGTCGGCGATGTCCTTTTGGTTTGAGACAACTGGAAGCCCCACTTTTGGGATATCCGCTGGGGCGACCCCGTCAAGGCACGGGCCCTTTGACCGTGAACACACAGCCTTGGTTTTTGAGGGTCCGGAAACAAAGACAACGCACCGAAAAGGACCCGGGTGGTCGTACTCCAAAAATGGCTCGCACGGCACGGGGAGTCTCCTTGAAGATCTTCATAGGTTCCATGGGCCGATCAAAATCGATGGTCCCAAGTTGCTTTGAAACACACGTGACAGTGTCAGGACCCGAGACTTAAACCGCGTGCTTTCCCTTGGTCACTGGTAATTATTCCCCTCTGTTCACGCTTTGGTTCGCTGGTTCGTTTCTTTTATTGGGTGGTTAGTGGGTGCGTTCCTTGGTTCGTGGGTGACTTGGCTGGTTGGGTGTTTCCAACAGCTAGACCCCAGAGATTGTCTTGCCTGCTTGCTTGCTTTCTCGGTTGGTTGGTTTGGTTGGGTTGCTTGGCTTGGGTTGCTTGGCTTGGGCTGCTTGGCTTGGCCGCTCGCCAAGCGGCGCTCGCGAGCGGGACCTGCCAGGAGCTCCTGCCGGACTGGCAAATACGGGGTGCGCCCCTCGAGACCCCGGTGACTAGCGACTCCTTCTACTGGCCGGAACCCAAGGACAAGTATCAGCGTCGGTTTTGGGGGAGCTCGGTTTGGTTTGGTGGGTCTGAACCAAAGGCCAAATCGAAACCAATGATTTTGGGATGCCCCGAATTTTGATAAACCCTCCAGTGCAGGGTTTGCTTTGGCCTGCCACAAACAGCATCGGGAACCAGGGGAACCCTCAAAAAAAAGAAGAACTGCTTGTACATGTGGAGAAGAACAGTCAAAAATAACCGCTCTTGAAGACGTTGTCTACATTTCCAGTTTTTTGTTTTTGACTTCCCCACCCTTTGGAGACTGGGGTTCCAACCTCTCGGCAACGAAAGGTGCTCCAAATGCCATGTGGGTAAACCGGTTTTCGGTTTACCCTGCCCCTTCTCCCTGCCCCTTCTCCTCCCACCCTACGTCTCTTATTCTCGCGGAAACCGCGACCTCGCCCCAAATGCAACGCAAGGGTGCTTTCAAAACGAAGCACCAACGCCAAGTGAGGCAGTGAGGTTTCGGTGTTCATCTTCAGCTCTTCATCCTCTTCCCAGCTCTTTTTTCCTTCCCCTTGCGCCGCTACCCCCCCCCCCCGCGGCGTCGAGTGGCCGAACTCGCCGAGCGCGAGCGCCCGAGCGGCCGAGGCTGCCGAACGAGCAGCTGGCGGTGCCCTTCCCGGGGCCCCTGCTGCACCTGGCCCCCGAGCTGCGGCAGGAGGCGCGACGCAAAGCGACGAAAAGCGCGTGAGACGTCGAGCGCCTCGAATCGGTACAGTGAAGGCTTTTTTTAAAGAATAAAACACATAAAAACAAATAAAAATAAAGATACAAAAATAAGCAAACCAAAAGACGCACATGAACGACGTTAGGTGTTATTTTTTTTGTAGGATGATGGGTTGCGGGGGACTTTGGAATTTAGTTCAGGGTTTCAGTGATTCCTTTTTGTGGGCCAAGGGGTTCTCCTCCCTTTGAAAATGAGGAGGAGAAAATGGATCGAAAGGGTTTTCCATGGGGCGAAACGCCGTCGCCTTGTAGGGGACGGCAACGAAAGCAGAAGGAAGACCGGGACCCATTGTGGGGGTTCCCTGATTTCCTGAAACAAAGAAGCGCTTTAAAACGACCAACACTTTAAAAGTCACACCTAGAGTATGAATTTGGAGATTTGGATGGACCCTTTGGTGGTCAATGACACGGAGTTTCCTGCTTGTTTTTGCATGCAAAGGGGCAATTGCCACAAACTCGTTTCTTAAACAGTTACATACATACTTATTGCGCAGGAGGCACTTGCCACCAAGTTTGGACAACCTTTCTTAGAGCTCGACTCGAACCGAACAGCTTGGGGCAACCCAGCTGAGCGGAAGCCGAAGTAAGACCTTGGCGGTTTGGATTGGTGTGAACCGGATTTGAGCCACGTGCTCAGAACCGATTCGGGTAGATGAAGGCTAGTAAGGGGCAGTCCCAGCCAGAAAGAGCTGCGGATATCCGCCTTCTTAGTTCTTTACATGGTTCTGGGCAGACCATTTAAATACTGGGTTTTGATTGTGACTTATTTGGATTTGAACCTCTGGTTCTTGTACGTGGGGACATTTCCCCGAACCACATCCAATCCAATGCACCAAGGGGGAGGCTGATAAAAGCGATAAGACTTGGGCTTCTCAAGGGTACCCCAAAAAAAGCACCCGGCGGTTTCCCCAACCAGGCTCGGGCCACCTCAGCAAGTGTAGATTGTGAGGATGACACTGGATTGAGTTGGGCCCCTGTAACCCCCCCGAAAACGCAAACCGTGGGTTGTAATTCTGAGGAGGGCCTTTTGTAGGACCCAGTTTTTTGACTTTAATCGTTTGATCAATCCTTTTGTCTTTACATTCCACTCAACAGGGTTCAATTGTTCATTAACTAAATATAATATGCTATAAGTTCGATAAATTTGCGCATTTCCTGGAGTTGCTTGGGGTGTCTCAAAATAGGGTACCCCTCTTTGGCTGGAAAGGAAATCCACGAAAGCCCATTTCGCACCACTTTGAAGCCATGGTTGAAAACCATTGTTTCTTTGTATTTACAGGGGAATCGAACCGGACACCAGGTTTCTGAACGGTGCGAAATGGATTTCGCAACCATCCACAGTTCTGAGAATTCCCACCTCGGGGTCTGTGTGCGCCATTTTTTGAGATGCTACCTTTCTTTGTGTGGCTTTAAAATGGGAAACTTTCCAGGACGCTCACCATTCTAGTGGGTCCCGACTCCCCCAAAAAAAGGCGGGCCAAATTACTTCGGGGCCGGTTTTTTTTTGGCGGGTACCTTTCTGGGTGTGGCTCTCTAAATTGGGAAACGAAAAGGACAACCACTAAACCCAAAAAACACAGACGAGCCGAGCCATTCGCGTTTTGTGCGGAGGGGAACTACATCATCTCCCTGGGCTCGCTGTGCCGGTGGCTGGGCGAGCAGGCGGAGGAGATGGGCGTGGACATCTACCCGGGCGCCGGCCTCGGCCAGTTGGGCGAGCGGAGTGGGGGGGGGGTGGCGTGGGGCGCGGGGGGCGGGGTGGGGTGGGTTGGGGGGTGGGGTGGGGTGGCTGGGGGGTTGGGGTGGCTGGGGGGTTGGGGGGGTGGGGTGGTTGGGGGGTTGGGGGTGCAGGGCTTCCTGTGGTCCCTCAGAGAGTTTGAGTTTCTGGACCTGAGTCGTTTTTTGGGTTTGGAGCGGTTGGAGCCATTTTAGTGGCAAACAAGGATTTAGGCTTCTCATTTTCCGCAGGGTGGAAACATCATTTCGGGATTTGGTCATCTTGTGGCACGTTAGGGGGGCCCATGTCACACGGCGGTGTGAGCGCAGCGAACCCCTTGCTTGGTACTTGCGGAAACTGAAAGGGGCTGAATATCATTTTCCTCAACATGGTGGACTTGTTTGCTTGCTTATTGAGAAAAAGGAGAGATTGGTCATTCTTACGGGACCCTTTGGGAAAATGCCGGAAATTCCTTTTGCTTGCTTATTGAGACAAAATGTCAATGTACATGCAGTGTTCTACTACATAGCTTGTACATGACCGCAGGCCTTGAGCTTACCTTTGACTACATCAAGAGCCCATGTAAAATAGGAGCTGTGCAGACTACAGGTTGATTGTGTGAACAACATTACAGCACTTGCACTTGTAGTAAGCCACAGTCTGAATTTAACGTGGTAGCGGAGCTGAGATCCTAAACATAGGGGAGCTCCAGTATCCAGCAGTAAGTACTACAACAACTGCAGCAGCAATCGCGCCAAACTACTACGACATGTCAGGAGAAGCAGCATCAGCTTCAGCGCAGCAAACTACAGGAACAGAGGATGGGCCAACAGCAGAAACAGTAGGAGCCACGACTGCAGGAGCAGGAACAGAGCAAGACAACCATGTTCAGAGACTATACAAATACAAGCTGCCACCACCCTTCTTCACTGGTGACTACTCCCAGTATGAGGAATGGCTGTTCAAGCTACAAGCGTATCTCAGACTCATAGACCGAGACCTGGTGCTACAACTGGCACAAGTAGCTACACGATAAGTTGAGGATGCAGACATCAGAGCACACATACGCGACCCTACACAAGCAAGCAAGGCAGTAGACCTCGCCAGAGATCTACACTACATCCTCATCAACATATGTCAGGGAGCAGCAGCTACGGTAGTAAGGCAAAACCGCTACAACGCAAATGGGTGTGAAACACCAAGACTCTTGCACAACAGGTTCAGCCTGCCAGTAGGAACACGAAGCGTTGGCTACCTCACCAAGCTACTGGAACCTACCTTCAATGAAGCGCAGTTTGAAGAGAAATCCCTACAATGGGAATACGACATCAACCACTACGAGAAAGACAGCAGATTGCAATACCACTCAACAAAACTAAAGGAGCGCTGCAACAACATCTCCAACTACGAGCTGGACAGATCGCGAACTGAGATCCCTGGACTACCACAAGACGATCTCTGCTTTCTCAAGAGCTACTTTGGAGGACCTGCGCCAATGGACGTTGACAACATCTGGAGGAAAGGAAGAAACTACAAAGGCAAAGGAAAAGTACAGAGGCAAAGGGCACTACAAGGGATTTGACAAAGGCGACAAAGGAAGCTACAACAAAGGAGGATACAACAAGAGCAAGGGAAAAGGCTACTCAGGATCCACAGGCTATGCATCAAGCAAAGACTACAAAGGCCAAGGAAACTGCAGCAGATCAAATGGAAAAGGAAGCACCAACTACATGACATGCCACCGATGTGGCAAGCCCGGCCATTGGGCCTGCAGAGTGCCCGTGTGGCACATATCCACCAGGCCAAGAACAAGCAGATCAGGACAAACAGTGAGGAACCATCTCAGGATCTGAACGATGAACGACTACGACTATGACAGCAGCTCGGATTGGAATGACAGCAGCTATGAAGACACATCAAACTACATTGGAGGCATCAACGAGTCACGCCTCACCATTGGACACATCAGACAAGCAAAGTCACTACCACACAAGCACAAACCCAAATCACTACTTGGAAAGAAAGCATCACACACAACATCATGGAACGACCGTAGCAAAGGCTTTCAACAATTCCTACAAGAGGACACAACACAACTACACTTCGACATAGCAGCAGCAACACAAAAGCAATGACAAAGAAGATTGAGGACGACATCACACACACTACATCATGTACTCCAACTTCAAGTCATACCACCACCTGCTGATCCACTTAGGAGCATCTACACATGCCCAAAGGACTACGCGCCGGATCTACCACTACGACCTTGTGGAGAACCAGTTCCACAACTCTACACGGTTACCAACAAGAAGGTCCCTGTCTATGGCATCAAGTATGTTCCCTACAAGCAGGACAACTTCAGGGTCATGATACCCTACTACGTTTGTGATGTGAAGTATCCTATCCTCAGTGCATCAAGACTATTTGATAGAGGATATGGGCCCGACTTCAATCCACGACACTGCACCATCACCCATGGACACAAACAACAAGCGCACCGCATCAGACACCCAGGACTCCCCTACCTACGAGCAGAAAAGGTCAGCATCCCTGCCGGATACGACATCTACCCAATGACTACAGGCAATGGGAAAAACCGATCCAACCTACAGAGAAAGCAAAACAACAAGAAGAACAAATTGCACCACTAACACACAGACCAATGTCTGAGACAAATCCTTGGTGGAATTTACTGACTACTGGAAACTCGATGGTGACTACGCCGCCAGAGTCCACAAACGACCACGCAAAGCACTTTTCACACCGCACAACAGCGGTTGCCCAAAACCAGAAGAAGAACTAGATGATTGGCGACTATCCATCATCAACAGACAAGGGCGACAGCGAGAACAACCACCAGAGAACCCCAAACAACTGTCCAAACAAGAACTACAAAGAAGACTAGAAGGTGACAATTGGACTGGAGAAACCATATCAGATCAAAGGACACTGCAATCAGGTCAACAGAAAAACCAAAGAACCACAACCACTACGACAAATAATTAAAGCAGTAACACTTCCCAACGGAGCACCCATCACTTCCTACACAAACGACAACCTCAGAAGACCAACCCGGCTACGACGAAACGCAACTACTGGAAGGAATGAAACACGAATCGCACCAAATGAAACTACATGACGTCTACGACGAAGTAGATGCGTTTACAGTCGACGACAACGTCATCAAAGAAGCAATCTCTACAAGATGGGTTCCCAGAAAGAAAAAGACCAGGCGTGCGAAGCAGAATCGTCGCAAAAGGCTACACAGAGAAGATCGAGGACGAAGACTCCGTCTACCCCTCTACACCAATGTTCACGACGCTACAGACACTTCTTGCACTACAGATGTCACGACCAAACTGGATCGCGCGACTAGACGACGTCTCTACGGCATTTCCACACATGGCTTTCTTTAGCCGCCATAGTTTGTTCTGTAGTGGGCAAAGTTCTTTAGGCGGCCAAAGGAAGACGTAGCGTTGTTTGCCCTTGGTCTTTTGCGATGGGTGCGTGTAGACAACGCAGGTCACCTAAAGCGTGGCAGGACTACCTGGCTGAAATACTGCAAGAGCTCAAGCACCTGCTGCGCTGCTTGCACGGCACCAAACACTACAAATTCACCACAGAACCAACAACAACACTACGAGCAAACACCAACAACATCCTGGATCTCGGCGTTCATGTCGATGCTGACTGGGCAGGATGCCCTACTACCAGGAAATCAACTTCGGATTTCAACATCATCTTTCTTGGAACAGCAGTTGCTTTTGGCAGCAGAACACAAGCACCTGAGCTCTACGCAGATTGCGCAGGAGTTTGTGAGGGACTACACCTCAGAAACTTCTTACTCGAAACAAAAATTTGCCGCAAGCTAAACCTACACATTCACACAGACTCCACAGCAGGCAAAAGCATTGCTACACGACAAGGCACAAGCAAACGAGCAAAACACATTGACCTCAAATTCCTCTACACACAAGACCTCATCAACTATGACATCATCAGAATCCTCAACACACTCCAGAACAGCCAGATGTTTTTTACCAAATACATCAGCAAGGAAACACTACACCGGCTTATCCAAAGCGTTGGGATACGCATTTAGCACTACGAACGACCAGCGCAACTGTTTCACAACAGCAACAACGACTTCAATCATTTTGTATGTAGCAGCTACATGTAACATGACGCTTTTGGTATGTAAGTAACAGTAACTACACGTAATGTCACTTGCACTTTTGGCGGCATGTTTGGCGGCTTCAGTCAACACTACATGTTTGTTTGTTTGTTTTGCATGTGTGCCCGCTTCCTGTTAGCAACTACAGGCTCAGATTAGGTACCCAGTTTCTCCGTGTTAGGACTACAGCCGCGAGCCATTTCGCGACTACAATCGCTGAGGACGAGGCTGGCGTCGTCACCTGAGACGACTACACCTGTTCACCTACCAGTCACAACTTCGCCCAATTACAGGCGCGCTACGACTCACGACTGCGGCTTCGACACCACTGCCACTCAACGCACACCTACAGGACATCTACAACTCCAGCGACTTCAGCCTACACACCAACCAGACCATCCTACTACGGGCTACGCCCACACTACCCACTTCACCACAGTACACTAAATTCTACATCCCCCTGACAGTCGAGAACTACTGCTTTCTCACTGCAGGACAGGGTGATGACACTACAATCAACGTCTTCTACAACACGGCCACTGCAGAACCAGCAACACCCTTCCTACCACTACAGTCAGTACCGGGCAAGCTACATGAGCCAGCATACAATCGACTACAACTGTTGCACCCAGCAGCAGATGCCCATTTGTGGCATTACTACAGCTTGACCGAACTCCACCTCCACCAACCACACCAACGACTACATTCTCGTCACAATCTCACTTCCCGCATTTACGTTCAACAACTACGCAAAGACAACGCATTGTGCTACTTTGTGCGTGACTACATCAGTCACCCAACTTCAGTTCAAAGCCAACACACCCTTCGCTTGAACTACTACCAGGGAGCCTCGTTGATCAACAACGACTTCACCCTTCACTACACCCTGTCCAACGGCTACATTTGGGATTTCCACCTCCCACTCAACACCAGCAACTACTCCACCTCTACAGCCTACACCACAACGACAGCGCGGTGCTGCATTCTCATCAAGACTACAGAATACTACGGTCACTACTTGTTGACCACCACGCACGGCTCAGATGCAATTCACACCCAACTACTACGCACACTCAGGCAACGTCCAATAAAGGACTACAACAGAACGCGGGGCTCAGGTCAGGAATTTCTGAACTACATGAGCGAACCCGCAACGGTCCAATCACTACAGGACCTTCGCCAGGCCCAAACCCCTAAAAGTACACGCCGTACTACGACATCAGGCGCTTCTTCACGAACTCCGTTCAGTCCACATCAGGGACCGAATTATGAACAGCGAGAGCTACTGAGGACTACACCTGTTTTTCTTGTCACTACAGTAGCATGGATGAACAACATTTGTTTTCATCAGTACGGTCAATCTTGTGCAAACACGATCATCTGCATTCACTGGCCCTGCCAAAGGATTGATCTCAAAAAGTAGTTGTGTCCGCTGTCGCGCCTTTTAAGCAGATCCGGCCGAGCTCCTGAGACATTCGCGCGTCTGCGCGCAGATTATAGCGCCGGACGAATGAATAGGTGTAACTCATCAACCTACGATTGGCCCCCTTGCCTTTGCCCAGCTTCGTGTGAACACCTCTTGGGAGATATGAATCTTTTGCTTGCCACCATCTGTCTCTGCGCTGTGTTTCTGTCACCACCGGCTTCGACTGCTTGTGCTTCTTGGCTGCAACAGCACGGCGCCATTCGCTCTTTGAGTCAAGGACTTCTTTCCCAGAGCGCTCACTGCACGTGGCCAAGCTTTGGCGGCATCGCTGCGCTGCGTTGGCTTGCTGAGGTCCAGGTGGGTAAACAAGTCTGACGCCCACAGCTCAGCAATTGCTGGAGAGTTATCTTGAGAAGCTGGTCCAATTGGCTGGTATCCTGACTGCTGTGTGCGGCGTGTGCTGTTGACGAACTTGACCCTCCATATCGCACAGGCCCAAGACAGTGGAGTTTGTCTATAGCAAGCCCGGAACAAATCTGCCCTTCTCACGCAACGCCGAAAATGCGAACATTGATCTCCTGTCGATGGCCTGCTGCCAAACTCGATGCTTGTCATGTTGCTTTGTTTTGAACTCCCCGAAGTCTTAGCATCAGTGCGCAGACCGGCTTCGCAGATCACAGACAAATAGAACCTCATTCGCCTGACTTCATCTGGACAAATAGAACTGCGCGCAACCTCTAGTGGATCATGAAGCTGCAGCTCTAACGCATCACTCCGGACAGATACAGGCGAGCATTGCGGCGCTGGCGAGCCCTGCAAGCGTACCCTCTTAATTCGAGGTGTGGCAGGGGCTGACATTGACTCAACTGCTTCATGGCCGGCAAAATTCCTGAGAGGCCGTCGGAATCATCCCCCACCCCCACCCCACCCCCTTCCCACAACTGCGCGCCGTGCAACTGCACGCTGACTTTGCTGAAACATGTACGGAACACCGAAAACTGCAGAAAACCCCAAGGGCTAATATCATTACGCCTCCTACTACATAGCTTGTGCATGACCGCAGGCCTTGAACTCGGCTGCGCGCCAAGCGCCCGACTTGATTTGCCGAGGCTTCGCGGCCGAAGGCCCGGTGCTGGCGGAGGGGAAGCTGCGGGGGGTGCAGCTTAGGGACGTGGGGCTGGCGAAGGATGGCCGGCAGAAGGAGACCTACGAGCCAGGCGCCGGTTGGGTTCGCACGAGGGGGTTGGGGGGCTTGGAACAGGCATGGATGGAGTTCTTGATTGAGGAGGACGAAGAAGGTGTGGAGGCATAGTCCTTCCTGGTTCCCAGTGAGAAAACCCAAGGATCCCACCGGTTTCAGTCAGGATGTTGCCGTGGAATCCATTTGGGCCTCGTCTTTTTGACGTATATACCGACTTGTTGGGATAGTTTGAACGGGACACCGACAGGACATCGTTTGCCGATGTTCGGGTTCCCTGAGCGTATGTTTATTTGCCCCAATGGACACCTGGTTCGAAGTGCTTGGGCAAGCTGTGAGAAGCTTTTGGTCCCTCCAGTTCTCTTTTGATTGGGTGGCTGAAACCCTCTCAAGTAGAAGGTCAACCCCAAGACTGGGCAGTGATTGGTACCTTATCATACATCTCTGCCCTTCCATGATGGTGGTGGAAAAAGTTTATGGGTGGATTGAACATAACAATAACCCACATACAGACGCCAAACTTGTGTAATCACAGTTCTCAGTGGATCGATCTGCTTTGAGGTGTCTCATGTTCCGCAACCACTTTTGAGGCAAAAGCAAAGACTATGAAGCCTCGGTCAACAAGGTTTGGGATGTGAAGGGCAGTGGAAGAGAACCGAAAAGGAGGGGAGGGGGAGGGAAAAACCTGGGAGGCATTAAGCAGCAAGCAGCGCAAGTTTGCCATGTCCTCTTCGGGAAGAGGATTGCTGGGTCAAAAAGCAGTGAACAGTTGCTCTGCACCCTGGTTTCATACAATTTACAGCAAGGGCCAATTTGTACACCTGCATGACATTTGATTTAGAACCGCTAATGGCCGTAACCTAAGGACAACTGCGTGTTGATTCAAGATACCGGCTATATCAGCTGGTTCCCTTGAAATGACTTTTGATTCGTCCCAATGCGGGGAAAGACGTGGGAAACAGGCACAGTTCGCGGGGCAAGGAGGGCGCCGCTTTCACTCATTTCGAGGGAATCCCTAAGTGCAAAAGTAGACGTAGGCGCCTAATAACGTACATTATACTATATGTATACACATATATGTACATATACAATCGCATATATATATATGTACATAGTATGGTCCCGACAAGCTCTTCAGTCTTCCCCTGGGGCGGGTGGGCGGGGGGGGGGGGGAACTTTGACCATTCAACGGTATAGGGTCTCAACGGTTGCCAGGTATGCAGCTCTTGGCCAAGCAGACCATTCTGTCTGAAGGCGCTGCCCGGGGAGTGCGCGCGCCGCCTGGGGGGGAGGTCCTTCTGGACGTTTTTGTTTTTTTCCCCGGTAAGGGGCGGGAGAGATGGCGCTTCTTCCACCATTTTGGCTCTGGATCTTTAGATTTTTGTTTCACTTGTTTGGTTGAAGTCAAGTTTGTGTCTGTCCATTCCCGCAACAAGCGGAACTTTTTGCAGAGGGGTCAACAGCAACCAAGTTTCGTGCGGGGGGGGGGGGGTTGTTTGGGGATGTGTTTCTTCTCTGGCTGAAGCTGAGGATGGATTCACCGCGGGCACAGAGATATCGATCAACATCCCCCGGTGGGCACGGCTCAAGGCAGTGAGGTATAGAGATGCCAAGAGAGCGAGCCACGGGCGCCGTCCAACCATGGCCCCAAATCGATGCTGCCAGCAACTTGCGCCCTTGCCGACGTTGTACAAAGAACATATTGCACCTGCATGGTTGGCACAGAACACAACCACACCCATGTCCCCCTGAAGTCCTTTGCCAACTTCTATACTGCTTAACAGGGCTTTCTTGATCTTCTACTCTTTCACAAGGCTCCAGAAAGACGAGTTGAGATGGCCATTGATATCATGAAGCCTTTTCTACCCGCCCAAACCGAAGCCTACTATCTTTTGTGATTAATGTGCAAGTGGACTTGGTCTTCTGAACCCGCCTTTTTGGTGCGCGGATCGAGCCGGGTCCGGCGGAGCCGGGTGCCATGTGCGCGCTTTGGCTGAGCCTTTGGCTGTGCGCGGCGCGTTGCGCGCTGGGAGACACCGGTCTTATCACGGAGAACCGGTCGGCCAAGATTCAGGCAGGTGGGGCGAAAGGGAGGGGAAGAAAGGGAGGAAGGGAGGGAAGGGGCCTCGGCTAAATCCCCTTCCCCAAGTGGAGCAACCTGAGTTTGCCACTGAGCATTCTTTTCAACTGACGCAGGCAGAATAAAATGGTTTGTTTTCCCCATGCTATGGTTTCAAACTGCCCCACCCCACTTTACGCCCCATGCTGGAAAATGGTTCGAGTCACTCCTTTTCGGCAAACACTTGGGGCTGGAGCGATCGGGCGCTTAGTGGCGCAACTTGGCCCTGGAAGAGGCAAGGAGACCAACTCCTCGGACCGGTTTGTTTGGTTGGCTTTGTGTTGCTGTTGGCTGTCTGCATTGCGAAGTGAACAGCCGTTTCTGCTTTTTGTGAGTGACACAAGACTTTTCCGAAGCGATGACCGTGCTTTTTTGCGGCAAAAGATCAAAGATCTAAAGTGATCTGACCCCCCTCGAACACGAGACCACTCTTGTAGTCAACCCGAGGTTTCTGCATCCAGAGAGAGGTTTCTGCATCCAGAGAGAGGTTTCTGCATCCAGAGACATCATTTCTCGAGGTTCGGTCAAAACAGAAAGTAGTTTGTGGTCAATTCAGAAGACGACTGACTCGTTTTCCAACGACCCTGAGGCTCCCCAACAGCTGCCACCAGCATAGGAAACGAGAGGCCGAAGCAATGGGCCTGCATGTTTGTTTGGTACCCTTTTTGGCTTCTTGGGACAGGCCCCTGTGGCTGTTTGTTCTTTTTTGTATATATGATTAATTATGTTGCTTCTTTTCCTCTCATTTGGCTTTGTTTCATTGTTTATTTCTTTATTTTCTTTGCCTGTTTTCTTTCTTTATTGATTTTTCTCTGTTTGTTTGTTTGTTTCTTTGTTTGTTTGTTTGTTTGTTTGTTTGTTTTGGTTGGTTGGGTTTGGTTGGGTTTGGATAGTTTGGTTTGGTTTGGTTTGGTTTAGTTTGTGTTTCCCCAGATGGCCGAAAGATATCGGGGTTCCAGTTCCCAGTAATCCCTTGCGGGGCATTGGCTAGGGAGCCTGGCGAACAGAAGCGCTTGGCGGCGTTTCAGTGTGCTTCACATGCTTGGTGTGGATTTGCTGGGGCGATCCTCGTGGTGAACTGTGTCGTTCCAGGAAACTGGATGTCCCCCAAACCAGTGATGCCAAACAGAGTTGTGTTCCTCAAGCCGCAGAGCTTCTCAAGGTGCTACTTCTCTCAAAGCCGAGGTGTCCTCATCGAAGCAAACACGTTCATCAAAATTGGCTCAAGCAGAACACTTCCGCAGAACCGAACTCCCGAAGGTGGATGCCTCAAAACGATTTCGCAAACGCGCGAATTCTAACTTTGAGTTTCGCAGAACTCAAGATGTTTAGTTCTCGCCGATCTCGAGCCGATGGTTTCCATGCAATTTTGAAGCTGCTTTGACGAAGGTTCAGAGCGCGTTTCTCCAATGAAAGGAGAGGTCTTGCTCGGCGTTGGCGGGATTGCTGGTTTGTTTGTTTGTTTGTTTGTTTGTTTGTTTTTCTTTCTTTTTTTTTTCTTCTCCTTTTGTTTCCTTCTTTTTTTTGCTTGTTTGTATGTATGTATGTAATGTATGTATGTATGTATGTATGTATGTATGTATGTATGTATGTATGTATGTATGTTTGTTTGTTTGTTTGTTTGTTTGTTTGTTTGTTTTGCTTGTTTTTTTGTTTCTTTGTTTCTGTGTCTATTTGTTTGTTCTTTGTTTGCTTCTTGTTTCTGTATTTTTCTATTCTTTCTATTTTTCTATCTATTTGTCTTTGTTTGGTTTCTTTCTTTCTTTCTTTCTTTCTTTCTTTCTTTCTTTCTTTCTTTCTTTCTTTCTGGAATTGACAGATGAGGTTGTTCCATTCCCCTCAGGCACTTGTGGAATCTTCCGATGGGGTTCGTTCAGGGTCCCGACTGGCCAGCATGAAATCCATGGCTGGTTGAACACAATTGGGTTGCCCATTGCTGCCAACCGAAGACACCCAACACAAATTACCCTGACACTTGGAATGAAAATCTTTTACCCTCCCACCAACATGGAAGTGCGCACACCCTTGTTCTTGGAAACGGAGTTGTGCTCGGTGGGGAGAGTAAGTGTTCGAATTTATTGCTCTGCTTTTTGCCTTTCCACTTTTGCGGGTGTGTCTAAATAGGGGGACCCTCACGTGGTTCTTCTTTTGGCTCACTTGGCTCACAAGAGGCGGGTGCCCCCCAACAACACCCAGGCCCGTATTTTGAATAGGGGACCCGTATATTTCCTTTGGGAATGACGAAAACAGGTCCAAGGGAAGTCTTCCAAGCTGCGCCTCGCTTCTTCTTCGGCCAGCCAGGTGAGCTGTGGCTTCGACATTAGCGGGGTGCTGCTGAGCGCGGGGAAGATTGGGACCGGGATTTGGAAGGCGCTTGGATGTGAAGCTCGTGCCGCGTGATCGTTGGATGGCGTGCGTCTTTTTTGGGACCTGAAAAGGGGAAGCCGGTACCCTTTGATTGGTTGGGTTACCTAAAAAGACACAACTGTTCCACCCGAAAAAATGTTTGTTTCCTTAGACCCACCAGACATCATTGGTTTCCTTGGATCCATGCATATCCTTTGTATTTTCAGAAGGATATTGCCTGCAAATCGGTTGCTTTTGGCCGCCCTGGCCCAGTTTCTTTCCACTCGATGTGTCGGGAACACGCCGACCATTGCTATCGGTGACTCCAACAAACTGGTTCGATTCTTGGCATGCGTGTCGAGCCAACTGGTGGATTTAAGGGAACAAACCACTTGGCCGGGTTCGACTACTCAGATGGCACCGACTTTCCCTCTTGAGCCATTGTTGTCGAAGGAGCATTCTTCCTGGTTTTGCAAGACAGCTTTTTTTTCAAGCCCCGAACTGTGGTAGCCCATCCTAGGATCCCTTTGCGGTTGCCAGCTTGAGTGTCCTCTTTTGCCGGGGCTTGTTTTATTTAATCAGTTTATCTTAGGTGAGTGCCCTCTTTTTGCTGGGGCGAGTCTTTTCTTGTTTTGTTTTGATTTGTCGTCAGAGGTGCAGGACTCCTGCAAGGTGCAGGAGACGGACGCCCGGAGCGCGGGACATTTCCGCGGGGCTGCGCGTCACGCTGGAGCGTGTAAAGGGGTATGCGTCAACCTGGGACCCCCCAAAGGGGTCGTGTTTTTTTTTGGTTTCCGGATGGAGAAAAAAACAACAAGGTGAAAGGGTCGCCTGAAAAAGTGCGGCGTTCGAGCAGGTCCAGTCATTGCAATGGCAACCAACCGCTACGAGCTGGGAACAGGGGAGCTGACAACACGTTTAGAACTTGGAGGTTTTCCCGTGGTGTCCCTTTTGACTGTCTACTGCTTTGGGGAGACCCCACGTTTCCCAATCCGGGAAGCTTCGCCGTCCGCTCAGATTCAGCACCCCCAAAGCGGAGAGGGTTCATAAGGAGTGGGTCCTCTGTGTTTTAGTTTTCTTGCTGGGCTTCGAACGTTTTGATTGTGGCTCGTTTGAGAACTGAATGTTGAGGCAGGGACCAGAACTGGGACAATTTCATGATTGGAAACATGGATTTTGAAAAACTGTTTTAAAGCCGACTATTTCCGCGAGTGGCCCTCGCAGAATACATGAGATCCCTGAGTTATAGAGAGGGACACTTTGGTACCCCGAAACAGGCTTTGCCAAACTGGACAATGCATGATCTGGTAACAACACAACACACGCAAGCACGCTGAAGAGAGATGGGTGTGTCTGTTCTTTGGGGAACCCCCTTTTCGCGGATTGAAGCCAGTCTTCTTATTGGAACCCCTTAGCCTTTTTTCTTTCCTGGAGACATGGGCCCTTGGGTTGGTTTTCCTCGGAGTCCCACGCAGAAGCTCTGGGTCAAAACGCGCATGGATCTTGCGGAAGCGAATTGTCACGTCGCATGGGCGTGTCTTAAGACTTGGTTCTCAGCAGGTAATGAAGGAATGACTCCCTGAAACCATCCCCGATTTGGTTTCCTTCAAGAGTATGGATATTTCTGGCGAGGGTTTGGGGCAAAACCCCAAAAGGCGTGCCCCTTAGTGTGTTTCTTATGGTTAGCTTCTTAAGTCTTCCCCAGAGTTAGCTCCCCTTTTTGCTTTTTTGCTTCTTTGGGGTCCTTTTGTTTTCCACTAACCGGGGAACAAAATGTTATTTTTTTGCC